AAGAACAGCGCAGAAGTCCCACTTGAACAACGGACATTTCGAAAGCACCGTTACTGGACAACATTTTCGCTGAGACAGGCAGCGAAATCGCCATTTTTAACTGTGTTTTAACGAAAGGCTGATAGCGACCAATAATCTAAAGGGCGGTCAAAACAATACTCAACAAAGTTTTATCTGTTTCTTCTACAGGCGGCAAAGATTTGAAGATGCAATTTTCAAGACCTAAGACTGACCTGGCGAAGTTTCCTCTGGTGTTCATACGAGTTGGTCTTCGCGCGGAACAGCGACGAAACATTAGGTACAGAAAACATTACTCTAACCCACCGGCAAGCCACAGAAGTTTGTTCCCAAATAGGCGTTTAACTGACAAATCACTACTCTTGTTTGTGCCAGCAGGTGTCGGAGAGTGCAGTAGTGTAAATTTTAAAGCAAACATTCTGCACAGAAAATCGCACAGTCGTGCTTGTAATAGCCATAGGAGGTCACAATGCTCTGCACAAGTAAATAAACATCAGCTGTTTCTTGATTTTAATGTTTTTGCTTGAAAGGGTGACCTACTTTAGGAAGGATTTGTCGATCAATAAGCGTGTTGACATTTCAGTGTTAAAGTTTATGCTATAAAACAGCCATTTACCCCATCCGCAGCCTCGATATCTGCATATTTACTCAGTAGAGTCCGAACCACCTCCAGATGTCCATCTCTTGCGGCTGAAATTAGGACGGTCTCGCCTTCCTGAAATCCAAGGGAATTGAACACTGTTAGAAGCAAGGAAAACGGGCATCTTTACAGAGCTTCACGAAAGACAACTATTCTTTCGTTCCACTTCATTATTTCAATCAATTAGAATTTTTTTAAAAGCCACTTAAAGAAAGCAGAGAAAAGAGCTGAAACACGTTACAAAATTAGGACACGCAGATTTAAAATAACGGAAGATATCGTCGAATACTTTCGAACACACAATTGTTTTAAAATACTTACCATAAGTTACTCAATAAACACTAACAAAAGTTTTTTCTTGTCAAAACGCATTCTCAAGTCACTCTAAACGCCAACAGAAGCCACAGAAAGAAAACAGCTTGTGTCCGCTCCAGGCACAAATGTTCACGTTCTAAATCACTATACCATGACATGTCAGATTTTATCAACTAAAATGTTCGCTATTAACAATGACAAAAACTACACATCTGTTATCTTCTTAGAATTAGGTACTTTAACTTAGGGCATTTTTAAACTTTTCATTGTTTTGCATTTTAATATGAAAACGCGAATTGTTATTGTTGGTTTACAGAGAAAGACGTTTCTGCGAACAGTGAAGAACAGAGATTGAAAAAGACGTGACAGGCATATTTTACGAGGCTCTTGTGACATTTACGGCATGCAAGTGAGACAGCCAGTTGGTTCAAGAATCTCCCGGCATCTTCAAGATGTTCTTTATTTGCCTTACATCCTTTACATCAAATTTCTTAGGCTTAACATAAGATAATAATATCAAGAAACATAAGGCCGGAAGATTTTAAGCAAGCTCCATTGAGCTTTTTGTAGAAATCTTCTTCTCGCATTTCGATCCGCTGAGACGCTCGAACATTCAAGTTTCATATCTATTCAGTAACTTTGCAGGAAATTAAAGTGATGTCATCAAATTTATGTGGTGTCATTATTTTTTTATGATAAAAATAAACTGCAATAAAAGTTAACACTGAATTGTAGCCAAGTAATAGAATAAATTAATGAACACTCAGAATCTATCTAGATATTCGCCATTCTCGCCAACTCGTGACAAGAAAAAAACAAATTCAATTAAAACTCTAAAACTCAGCTGACAAAAAGAAAAAGAAAACCCGGTTTGAGCACAACTTAAGATGCTGCTAACATAAAACACTCCCGCCACTTATAAAATCAAGGGCCGGGCGTGAACCAGATCATGACAGGTTTATCTGTAGTTCGTCTCAAAATTCAGTCGGCAAAGCCTCGTACCAACACCCGATGAGTTCTCGATTCAGTCGGCAAAGTTTTGTACCAACATCCGACAGGAGCCGATGAGTTCTTGAATCAACCTGCTTTCCACGGTCTCTCTTCTTCCAGAAGTCGGGAAGAATAGAGATCTGGGAACGATGTTGTTTCCGAGTTCACCTCATTATTGTTACTTAGCAACGCGTAGAATACGACCAGGTCAACGTTAACGTAGCCTGAGAACCGCAGACGCATTTCCGGTCGTCGCTTTGAGCGAGCGGAAATGCGTCTGCGGTTCGCAGGCTAACGTTAACGAAGCCTCTACAGATCTATCGATCACTGGTTTAAAAGTACAGGAGAGGAGTTTGGTAGCGTCCCCTTCATTGTCGGTTATAGTTTTGATCAGAATGTGTTGATGAAAAAACCGAAGAAACAGCCATGCAGAAACTGACAGACGGATAACAAGTTAACTTACTTTGTCCGGCAAGTTAAAGTAAGCTCCTCTGGCGAGAAGCCGCTGTACAATTTCTTCATGCCCATGTTTAGCAGACCAGGCTAGCGCCGAGTTTCCCTCCTGTCAAGTGTGTGAGAAAGAAAAATGACGTTAGTTAGTGTATGCCAGGCTTAGCTAGTAAAATTTGAGCAACAATGTAATCTTCTTTTCATTAGGTTGCAATATTTCTTTTGTTATTTGAACTGCGTTAACTGGATTTCGAGTCGGCGGAAACAGCGTAAAAACCACAGGGGTGGCCACTAGATTAGCTAATGTCGGACCCCGAGGTTCTCAAAATTTCCTGATGCGCCTGCCCCTTAAGATAGACAGGCCGGGCCGCACACCGCAGTTCCCCAGGAAAGAAGAGCGCAGCTGGAATTGACTGATGTATAATGAGACTGCTGTGTTGTAGGGAAATCTGTATGGTATGCAAGTGGTTGACTAAGCTAATGCATGTCGCTAGTACAGTGGCGAGAGCAATAGAAGTTACGACTTAATTAGTCCTCATCATGAATACAGTTCTTAAACAAATGCTCTACCCTGTCTTTCTAGGATGAAGAGTGAGGGCTGTTTACCTGATCTGTAGCATTAATATGAGGATCTCGATCCAACAGATAGTCGACAACTTCCGTGTATCCACCTTTAGCTGCCATGATTAATGGAGTCCAACCTCGCTGAAATAACAAATAAAATTAAACATTTAAAACGATAAGTGGCAGGATTATGCGGCGTCTTTTAATTCACTGCAATATATGAGTCCATGTTCTCAGTAACCAATCGTAACCGCAATCAAAACCAGTAGCAAACTTGTTTCCATGTATTGTCCCGCGTTTTAAGTCAGCTCTATGTATTATGGGAATGCTTAGTTTTTATTGCTTTCTTTGCTAGATGCTGGGATGTGATTGGTCTCTTTGGCGGATTCTGACTTGTGATTGGCTTATTTGATTGTTTGCGCCAGTTGCAATCGGCCCACAATCTTCGAATTTGCTGTTATGGGTACACATATGAGAAGCTGGTAAACTGAGACCTGCGAGCAAATCCGACGACTTTGTGCCGATTGCAATTTTTCTTGCCCCTCCCTCTCGCATCTCCTTATACGTGCCGCTCGCGAGTGACTTCGCACGAAAGCTTGCTTGCAGGCCAGAACGATCGTGCGTGTATCCCTCGCTTGCGCCCGTTCTTTCTTGCGCCCATTTATTTCCTAGCGCCTGCAACGCAGGCTAGAACGTTCGCAGGCTGGTTCTTCAGTAAATAACAATAGCGACACTTACATTGCTTGCAGTATTGACGTTTGCGTTGCAACTGAGAAGACTTTTGATAGCTCCTAAGTGTCCCTTCCTGCAGCCCCAAACTAAAGCTGACGTCCCAAACTACAAGAACAGACAAGAAAATAAATTAACAGATATGTAAATAAATCCTGGTACAGATCTCGCTTTATGCTTAAACAGGGCATAGATAATTTCACGCTTTTCTTCAAACAAAGAGAGGTGACAAAACAGCTCAGCTTGAGCAAACAAGAAAAGATCGTCTAAAGTTTAAGAGATCGAGAGAAACTTATGGAGACTTGTGGAAGACACTCCAGGTGAAAGCTTCGACGCAGGTAAGATCACTACCAAGAAGTCCTGTTCCGCGCATATAAAAATGAAGACCCCCAGGAGCCTATGATGGGCTCCTGGTCCTATGAGGGACCAACAGCATCAATTTTCTCAGTCCCAACAATATCAAATCACAATTCCGAGAAAAAGTTACAAGAATTCTGACTTCATCAGCAACACAGAATACCTGCCAACCTTTTTCTCAGTCAGAAGAGATTTTTGTCTTGGAATTTCCGAAAACGTCCCAGCGACTTCCAAGGATTTCCGACAATTTTCCGAAGACTTACGAACGTTTCCGAAAATCTCCGAGGATGTTCCGACGAACTTTAAGCACCTCCGAAGCCATTTGAAAGGCGACCCATTTTTAGCGTGTTTTGAAAGAATTACGACACAAAGTCAACATTAAGCCCCTTTATGAAATATTTTTGTGGAAATTGCCGGAATTGAATTTCCTTTATTGATCATGTGTTAAATGCCAATTCGTCCGGATTTATGAGTCAGGCGTGGGAAATTGTCCTTGATGCGTGACATCGATGCTTTTAATTTGGTCCGCAGACATGTAGCCTCCCACGCAGGCGTTTTTAGGGGAGCTCGTTTTTCCATCCCTCCCATAAAAACGCCTGCGTGGGAGGCTACAGACATGAGACTCAAGCATAATGCGTGACTGAGAGTTGGTAGGTTTCTCTCACCTTGTCAGCGGCGTCAGGATTTGCACCAGCATCGAGTAAATGATTAACAACTGCTGTGTGTCCGCGTCCTGATGCCCAAATAAGGGCAGTCATACCATGCTGTGGGTGAAAAGACAGCGTGTTAAGACGATATTACACAAGCAACGATTGTCAATTACGATTTTTGTGCAACACAGCATTGGAACCGATCGTAACATGACATTGTTTCGAATGGTTGCAACGTTGTTCCAACACTGCAACGCAAATTGCAACGCTGGGTTGCACTAACAAGCGTCGTTGAAAGTAAAGGTTTGTTGCAAGTAGTCCCGTGTAATATCACCTTACACATATTACGTGAACAATGAAGAAGATCGAGTCCCGGGGATCGAGTGCATAACGCAAGGCCAAGATCAGGGTCTGATCAGAGTCTGCGAATGGTAAGTCCTACAATGCCGCCTTAACTATACGGACAGTTAAAACCTGTGCTGCAGTGATTCAATGAAAGTCAGATCGACCGTATGTCGACAAGAAAACTGAAAGGTTAGTTCATGGTTCAGCACTGGTTAAGACCCTCTTTCCGCTTTATGTCGGACAGCTGAGTTAAACACTAACGCGCACGTTTGATCATTATCATTCTTTAAGTACCCCTAGCACAAATAACTCAACATTTAAGGATAGAGTTCAAACACATACGCCTTAGTGATGGCGCTACATGATCAGTGATATGATTTCGACACAAGAGACTGAGTAACGATGCACGTTACTGCTGTCTCCTAGAATATCTTCAGTAATCTGGAGAAGAACCTAATCAGCCTAATTCACCACTCTGTTGATAAGCCATTTACCAGTGCATCAGCGACAGCGCTACATGATCTACAACGCATGTCGTTCTTGTAAAATCCAAAACTCAAGCCTCGCATTGCCGCCTTAACAGGCGCAGATCATGCAAAGGTCTCTAACATAATAATTGGCAGGAGAAAAGCTTCTTCGATTCCATCTATTTTCCAAGGCTTAATATAAAATCTCGTTCTATCGACATCATCAGTGTTGTAGGTTTAACATATTGCCAGTTACACACACACGAGTGAAAATTCCGTTTTCTTTTTCATTGCGACTGTCACGTTAGAAAAATCATTTTTCGGTCTAGATATACAGTAGAACTCCGGTAACTCGAACTCTGAAGGGAAACGAAAAACAGTCAGGCGGGGGAGGGGTAGGGGAAGGAAGGAATTACGTAAGGTCACCCGGCAGAGATCCACGGGCAGAAAAGAGACGCGTTCTATATGGGAGAAAGTATGAAAGCTGAGAAAGTATGAAAGCTGCCTGATCTTAGGTTTAATCTGTACTCATAAGCCCCGTCATATTTAAATGAAGTTTTCATTTTGGCCAGTATTACGAGTACAAACAGTATCGGAACAGTATGGTGTTGAAGTGTGACTTTTCCAAACTGCTGTCTGGGATGTTTGTGGGAGTTCGTGACACCTTGACTCAAAGCTATGTAAAGTGACGGAAGCAGTCATGTTCCCTTGCAATGTTAGGTGTGAAAGCGACACAATGAAAATAATAGTCGGTCGAAAGAAAAGATTACGAAAAACAAAGCTTCCAAAATGAGTCGGAAAGCTGCCATAGTGTCGCTTCCCTCAGTTTCAAATTTCAACAATTTCCTGTAAGAGGATAAAAGCATTGCAAGGAAAACCTTAAAAATCTGAAGTCTTCAATCCTAAAAAAGATTTATTACCTGTTGAAATGTTATTGGATAAAATTAAATCTGATGCAATGACATAGTCAACGACGAGTCGTTAAAACGAAGAAGCTGATAGACCTGATAGGCTAAATAAGAAATGGGAGACGGAATTGCATGCTCTTCTGAATAGTATACCTTTTGTCTCTTACGGCCATAACATCACAACAAACTGAGTTGGCGGTAAAACTATCAACTTAGAAAGTCCACAGACATTTTGTGGAAAAAATAGCAAGCTAATAAACAGCAGGAACAACACGAAAGACCAACCAAACCACATGTAATGGAAACCAAACATAAATTAAATATCAGGGATTTAGTCAGAAGTATCCATCCCCATGAATACACAAGTAATTTTTTTTCAGCAATGTCCACAGACGACAAATCTTCGTTTGGAAGACTGAAATTAAGTGTTCGTGTAACCGGCTTAACTTTACAGTACAGTATACACTGACTCAAACCTTCCTTTCATTCATTTCCTGATTTTTCTGTTCAATATTCTTTTCTTTCATCTTATGCAAATGTGCTGGACTGTTTCACCAATCATCATAAATATATACATATTCTTAAGGTATCTTGCTTCCGGCGACGACTTGTTTTTCTTTTGTTAAATCCCGACATGGTGATTAACAAGTCTAACAATGTTGCATTTCGGAATCAGATTTCGCAGTTTACGGTTAAATACATAACTACAATAAATCTGAGAAAGACTGCTAGGAAATTAGTAAACAATGATATTCCGAAATACCGCGAAGAAAACCAAAATAGCACTGAACGATAAGAGAGAGGGAACAGTGTGAATGACATACTAATACTCGCTCAAAGGAGCATGTACTTGAAAATTACCTAAATGCGTACAGAGCCTACTTAACACTGTATTGTTCTATAAAAAATTGACGAAAGCTGTTAATCAAAAGCACAAAAATGAAATCAGAGTAATGGTTGTCTAATCAATTTCTTCCATGAAGTGAACAGATATTCGGAATTGTAGTCTTCCGTTTACTGAATACAGCTGCAAGGGAAAAAATTTAACAAAAAGAAATATGTTCGTTTCTACACTGGTCATTATTTCTAGCACCGCCTCGTAAAAAATCTCGGTTCAATAGCGCTTTTCATTTAATATTCATTCAATTTTCCGGGGTTTGTTTCTGCTATTATATCCTTTAAACTAAACGCACTACGTCGACACGAAAAGTAATGAGAAAAAAAGAGCTCTTGAAAACTGTTGTAACCAAGTTTCTGTACTAGCCAAAAAGTCTACGTTAAAATAAGTGTCAAGGATCGTTTGAGAACAGCTACGACTGCCTGTCAACTTCGTTCGTTAAAATTGGTTACAATAGTTTTGTATCACCGTGCTATAATTTTCGATTTCGCGCGTGCTAAGCGATGACAGATACACCGTGACTTATCAGGCAGTATCATCGAACTGCCAAAACACAACAGCTAGCCACTTACGTTCGGGGAGATTCATGTCGGACTTTTCAGCTCCTTAAAACGACCAACACCAAGAGGAGAATATCATAATGATTATGAAGATAGAAACTGGATGGTAATTAGACAAAACACGCAGCACGAATATAGAGAGCTCAAATTGCTACGGGTTCGATCCCTCATCTAATTCACCTGCCGTGAAAAGCGTTAATGACTTTCTCAATGCCGTATGCAAAAACGAAAGACCACTTAAGCTACAAAACGAATGCTAACCGCAAGAAATGCTTCCAACATTTATACCGTCTGTAAGCCTGGTCTGCGGTCAGCAAGACCAAAGTGAAAACAAAGTTTCCACGCAACGTACTCATCCATTTCAGACGAAGGCCAGTCGAACTTGGTCAAGTAACAACAACATGAATGGCTGTCTTTTTCACCGGCCGGCGTTTCAGGAAGAACTGTCGTCGCCGCAATTGAAGTAAAATCTAACTTGGAAACACCTGCCGGTCTCTTAGCTTTTTCTCAGTGTTGTGCGAATAACAGAACTTTGAAAAGTTTAAAACTCTTAAATACCTTTAAGAAATCTTACTTGTCAGATTTGCGGGAGTTCCAGTTTTTAGTGGAGATCGCTTTTCCTCATTACATGCTTGACATCGCGTCGACTGAAAATTTATAGGCTGTAAAACCTAATCACTTTGAAGGCGACTCGTGGCAACTTCAACACTTTTAATTATAATTGACGTAAATTCTTAGCTCGACGAGAGGTTCATAATTAGCATGCAATTAAACCGGAGACAGTGAAATATTAATGACAGCACACAGTAGTTTAGACAAACAGCACTAGTAATCTTCTTTTTAAAAAGGAAGTTCTCGTTTTTACCTCGGCCACAAACTTTACGGGTCCTGATCTTCTGACAAAAATGACACATTTTTAAAGAAGTTTAATTCAGATTCAAAAGGTTTCTAAAGCAATAATTTAGAACCATAAAATACTGCAAAGACGCTTTGTTCTAGAGTAAACTAACAACACAGAAGCATGATACTTAACCGCAGGCGAGTACGACAACTTGACCCAATTTTACATAACTTCGCTGTATCTTTCATTTAAATTCACAACAGCAAGTTCAGTCTGTCTCGTATCTTGCTTGATAACCCTGCCGACTTAAAGCCAACCTGAGGCAGATAAGAGGCTCGATTTCTCGCTAAGAACCTGCCAGACAAACTTACTGGAGGGCTGCCGTGCAATTTAATAAGCACCCCTCAGGTGCTGTCGCCACAAGCTTCTACCCAAGAGGCTAATTTTAAAATAGTATGGAAAGACGGAGCAAAATGAAAATTTGAAATTACTGAACCGGTTAACCAAAACTCGATTTTACAGGGGGGTCTACAAGTTCGTCGTATTTCACTCTCTGTACTCTTTCTGGAAGTGGTAAGCGGCGATACCTGTTTTGTTTCTATCGCTGTTGTCTGCTTGTTCGTTTGCTCGTTTATCAATCGGATTCACGTACGAAAGCTAAAAGTAGATTTAGCAGGTAGGAAAAATGATCAAGTACAAATCGCATCCTAAAGTCTTTTCCACCTTGTTTACATTATGGGCCATGTATTAACCTCTTTGATGTAGTCCACTCCTAAGCCATACATTGTAGTTCTAAGTTCTTTGAGATGGAACTCACCATTTACATACATTGTAAGGAAACCGGAACTTCCGGTTGAAAGATGAAATGGTTCGCGCTATCATTTAGGAAGTAGGCTCGATTGCGAATAACCAGCCGCTGTTCGGTGCTGGAGCCTGCGCCCCTCCCTCGTCCTCGTCTTTTCTCGGGGGAAGAACAGGCCGGACCCGACAGTGCAGCGGAAAACGAGGTAGGATGCTTCAGAAAATATTGGTCTTTCGTTTGAGATGATGCAATTTTTTTTACACTTTTAAGTCTTTCAGGCTGATTTGGATACACTCTGTTGAGCCTTAATTAAGACTACGCTCTATTTTCGTTTTGCTTGGTAAATAAAATTCCGGCGTGACCACGCAAGAGACGATGCATGAAAGCTGATCGCGGTAGTTCTCAAAGTGCACGTGATATTCGACGGATGGTTTGTGTGCATGATAATCTTGTTACCTTTCCTGTTTTTCAAGAACATTTTTGCATTGTTTGTTGTATTGTTATTTCTTTTTGACGTCTGGCCAATTCCAGGTCCATAAATGGAACAACTTAAACATTTTTTCTAAATGAAAGGTCCGCATTGTTTGTTGTATTGTTATTTCTTTTGTCTGGCAAATAAATAAATAATTAAACATTCTAGAGGCCGGCGATCGAAGGGGTAGGGTCAGGAAACCTAAAGGGCGCGTAAAACGCAGGACACAATCACGTGACACAAAACAAAAGCTCACGGCGGCCAACTTCGTCACTCGATCGAGAGCATAAAAGAAAACAAAAAGCCTCTTTAACTTCTGCAAGAAAAATGAATATCTGCTAGATAATAATGTCTAAGTATTTTATTCGTATACTCGTTTGCTTTTTCTCTGTTCGTTTGCTGATTGTAGATCGTCCGAATTGTCTTTTTTTTTAATCTCAGCAGAAATAAAGCTGAAACGATCCAAAGTAACCAATGTCAAATTTTTACTAGAAAGTCTCGATCTTTATATTTTGCTTATACGAGAAAAGCAAAGCCAGGAGAAACAAAGCTAAAATCAAAAACGTGATAGATGATGCAAGTGGACATACATGTACTTTAAAAACTAACCATGTAAACTTTTTTTTGTGTTAAGCTTATTGAATCATTATCGGCCAGTGGACAGTGGTATATTTCACGTAACATTTGAACAACATGGGTTGCATTAAAGTAATCTTACCTGTCCTCTCTCATTAGGATCAGCACCATAGTTCAGAAGCTCTCTTACAATGTCTGAATGTCCTTTGTAAGATGCCCACACCAGAGGAGACCAACCACCCTTTAAACACAACATCCAGTTACACTGACAACTGCTGAGTGAGGTTTGATTTTATGAGATCTTTTATGGGCTATTCCATGTAATAGCCACACCTCCCCCCTCCCCCACGGACAACATAAGTTGTAAGTATCAACACACTAACCCCCCCGCCCCCCGGCCCCGCTTCAAATATAGGCCATGTTTTTTACATACCCCTTAGTAATATTCCACACACAGCTAATCCCTGCAGAAATGACTTTCAAAACTTCAAACTTTCAAAATTTCATCAATAGGGGAGTGGGATACTAAATGGAATGGCCGTATAGATAAGACTACTACTTCTAGATAATATATCAGGAGATCCTGTCATAAAGAAATAATTGAACAGTATACTCTTACAGGGTGAAATAAAATATTGTAACTATTTACCAAGTCTGGCAACTGAACTTTTGCTCCACTTTCTAAAAGTTCTTTCACAACATCAAAATGCCCCTCTTTGCAAGCTGCTATAAGGGCTGTCCAGCCATCCTTAGAAAGAAAAAACAAAGAAAAACAAAAGCAAATCAGTTTGAGTCAAGCTATACTGTCATACACCACTGGACTTAAATTTGCTTTGGCGGCTAGGAAAACTTAATTTTTAATAGAATTCCTACATGTATCCTGGGCACCATGGATTTCACTCGTTCAGAGCAAAGGTACAATGCATAATCAATTTTCGATGTCATTTAAATCTTGATCATGGAATTTGCAACAATATTGTGACATTACAGAATATTGGTGGTGTGCAGGTTTTTCACACAACTGATTTACATGTAAGTCTTTGGAATGTGGACCATGCAACAGCACTGAGTTCTTTGTTTTTGTTTGTATGTTTTTTTTTTTGTCAGAACTTCTCTGCCATAATTAGTAATAAAATTAAATTCCTCACCCATATAAGTTTGATTGGGAAATCAAGGCTTGGTTTTTTGCCAAATGGAAATCTTCCTTTACATGGATTTTAATATAACAGCTCTAATTAAATTATATAAAATCTTTTTTCAGAGTTTGTGTTGGTTAAAAAACCTGGGCAAGAAATCACGATTTTGCAATACTTTTGTAAAACTGACTTATATCTTTGCACCCTGGATCACAGGACAACTCGTAAACTGTCCTCTTTACACATTAACATGTTGACAGTTAAGCTTGGACGGCAGCATTTTATCATCCAAATCCCCATTTCCAAAATAAACATACCCCTAAGGGTCATTACCATATCTTTTCAAAAACAAAGTTTTAAATTATGAGGTTTTGTAAGCCCTCAATACATGTAAGATACTGTTGGTAGGTTACATGTACAACAAATTACAAAAATAAAAAAACAAAACATACATGATCTTGAGCATTCACTTGGGCATTTTTTTTAATCAGCTCATGCACAATTTCCACATTTCCCATTTCAGCAGCAATGATAAGAGGGGTCTGACCATTCTGTTGAAAAAACAATTAAAATTTAATAGTGTTATATGTTGAAAAATTTCTGTCGGGCTGATAGAATTTTATATATATATTATTAAAATATTGGTGTCAATCAGTTACATAGTTTTCAGCAAAACTGCATGCAACCCTGCATTTTCTACCACAAGCTGCCATCAGCTGTAAATATTAAAACAAAAAACAAAAAAAACACGAGCCTAACATTTTTGCACATAGGTGTTTTTTTACATATTTTCTGTGCAAAGGAATTTGTTCATAGTTATATAAAGACAAAATTTCTAGCTGAGCCATTCGAATAGCAATAATTTCTTACTAGTGAATTACATAAAATCTCAATGCTGACTCACAGTATGAAATTGAAAGCAAAGCTACAAAAATTCTCAAAATCATAAATAAAAAGGGACAATGACTTAATATCAAGAGGAAGATTGTTCTAAAGCACATAGGACCCAAGATAAAAGGGGGCCACCATAAATCTTTGTCCTAAACATTGCCGTGTATTTACAGATAAAAAGAGACTTTTAGACTCACGGATGAGAAATAATTGTTACTACAACGGACGAGATTTGCCTCAAAGGTTTTCGCGTTTTCTCAGAAGAAACAGTATAGACACCCTGAAGAAAGCTTCAATGTACTTTTTTCACTAGAAAATTGTTAGCACTGTTGTCTTAATTAATTGAAGGAAGTTAAGGCCTCCATAGAGAGCAAAATGATAAAACTTCTAACATTTAATTGTTCACTTCTGTTTCCCACAGCACAACATTCTCACTGTAAAACTAGTAGTAGCAAATTGACAATGGCTATCATGTTTTCCCACCAAAATGAGACTGTTTCATGCATGAGCACTACCTAGTATCGAGAAAATCTTGTACTTTTAGTTGTCCTCGTCTTAGAATCTAAAGGTCTCTATTAAAATAGAGACCCAGTTGATTAAGACTAAAGTACAGTGTAGATCACTCACGTACTTGGATGCTAAAATAAAAGCGACAATCCACGTTTTTTTTTTACTTAGATGCCAAACTGTTCTTCTGGTGTTCAAAAGCTTTCAGCTCATTAATTGGCATACTTACCCTAATGCAATTTGGGGCCACAGTAGAATTGATTATATTGTAAACCAATGGAACCAAATAATTAGTTATTTCTTTACCTGGTCTTGCTGTTCCAAGTCAATTCCTCCATTGTCTAGTAAGTTTAACACATAAGTACAGCTTCCATCCCTGACTGCATTAAGAAATCCCCCATCATTTAGAGTCATTTCCTGTAATTGTGAGAAAAAATTTAAACTGTAAAAATTTGATAATAATCAATCACATACAACACTTTATTCTTTTTCTGAGTCAAAAATTAACACAAAAAAAATCCGAAAATGACACTCACATCAAAGCATGGTTTTCACTAGGCTTTTAGTGATGGAGTCGGAGTCAGAGTCATAATCACAAGCATAGAACTTTATGATGTGAAAAAAACGTTGTGATTTTTCTGATTCCGCTTACGACTCCATCATGTACGGTCAAGCGAAAACTGGATCGTCGGAGTCACAAGCAGAAGCAGAAGAACTAAACCAATCACAAAGTGTGGGAAGATGCTTTGTGATAGGTTTATCTTTCCACTTCTGCCTCCGACTCCAACAATCTGGTTTTCACTAGATCATACACAGAACGTAAGCGATGGAGTCAAAAGCGGAGTCGGTAGAAAACGGAAATATTCTGATTCTTCTGGCTCCGATTCTGTCGCACTTATGACTTCGATTACGATTACGATTTCTGATTTTCACTAGGTCATGAGCACTCATGACCTAACATTTTTTTATCATTACTCTTCCATAACAAAATAAAAATTGCATGAATACAAATTGAGATTATCAGATTTTCAACTAAGCAAATAGTTTTATCTTCTAAACTTAATTCTTTGAGATAAAATACTGTATAATCACACAACTTAATCAGTTTTAGATCATAAATATTTTTTGAAAAACATGTGCCCATGTACACTTTTATTTATTCAGGGAAATCCCGTCAGAGTCATAAGGCAGACTCTGTTATGATGTAAAGAGAAATGTTAGAAAAGGGCGGCTTAGTTAAAAGATGTAAAACCAGCAGTTTAGGTGTATGATTTCTATCAGGGAAAATTAATTTCTCTAATCCTTGAATCTGACTTTAGCACCAGCACTGGGTGCTTTGACCCAACCACTGAGTGCCGTCACCATATGCTTTAAAAAGCCCTTTTCAGATTAAAGTTATGCACATATTAATGCCGGCATTTTACTATTTTCAACCTAACCTTAACTATAGTTTTTTCTAGTGATCTACAGAGTATTCTTTCTCTACATTTACCTGTACAATGTTACATAATTAACTCACTAAAATTAGTTGGAACTTAATAATTATTATTACTATACTAAATTTTTATTGTTATTGTTGTTATTAGCCAATTATGAGTGCACTAAACTTTAAATGCAGAAGCAGTTAATACTGACTTCAGCTTACTAACATTTGTTGTTCCTATAACAGCAGCTGTTTGCACTCTTGTAAGTTGTGGAAAGTAGTTCTTATCATCTTGTGGAGGGTCACCTGGTCGCCAGGATCTCATGGGTGTAATAAATTCTTAGACAAAACAGCTTCTTTAGTAGTTCAACATGTTTACCACTCTGAAAATGTTACACATTTATGTTAGTTTATTTACTATGTTGCATCATTTACACGTTTCTTTGTATAAATTCTGTTTAACATGACGAGGGTGATTTAATTGAGGTTAGACTACATTAAATTAATGTATTCTAATGTATTATTGTATTTCATTACTTGTTTTTTAACTTCAAATCACACAATTGATATTATATTATACAAACTATGATGAAGGAATTTAGCGATTAAAAGGATTATTAACATTAATTATTATTTTACTATACCCTTCAGTGAATATTTAACCCCTTTTAAAAAATGGTGAAAAAAATGATGAGTACTGGGCAGACCCAGGATTTCAACACCTCCACGACTGATTAAGCTGTTTTTAATATTATAATTCCAGCCCTCTTTGCTGTAAATCATTATACAGGGTAACCTCAACTACGTAGACAATTGCTGTCATTACTCATGAAGGGCATCTACTTGTTAAATATTCAGCTAGGAGACATTCTACTATTGTGTTAGCTTTCTAATTTTGATGATTGAATAATATATATAAAGTACGCTATTCTGTGATTAAAAAAGGGAGTGCATTATGTGAGTTTGATTTTTGCTGATAATTTCACTTCAGTTTCAAAGCTGTTACTTCATTACTTCAAACATCCTTGGGTTTGATGGGTATATTCAGCGGGGAGGCGGGGGGGGGAGGGACCTCCCAGTTCCCCCTGGATCTGCCAATGATGACTCAGTACCTATGGGCCCTTTTAAGGTAGTAAAGTGTATAATTATTATCTCCACCTACATTAATTGGATCAAAAATTTTCCTTCATCTGATAAAATATTAAACACCCCAACAGCCACAGAGGGTGTATTGAAAATATGTTCTGAACAAAGAATGAGTGAAAACAGGTGACTTATTTGATGAGCAAAACTAGCACGTTTTAAGCTGATAAAAATTCTGTGAAGCTGGAAAAGAAGCCAATTTAATTTTTTTCACCTCAATTAGACATAGGTCACGTTTTGGAAGAAAGACATTTCACAGAGTGTAATAACTTATAGTTGTTTACCTTCTAGCACAAAGAGTTCTTGTCACGCTCCACTAAGAAAAAATAATAAGTGCCCCATAAATTTTAAAAGAAAGATGCGCATCAAATCTACTTGTATACACAAGAAAAAACCATTGTGTTTTCAGCGTATAAAATTCATGTACAGTAAATATTTGCCGCTGACTTTTACAACATGAGTTTGCCGGTGGTTTTGTTACCAAAAAAGAGAAAACGCACCCACAAAATATCAACGCCAAAACGAAATGAATACTGATTCAAATTTTCGGGATTTGAAATTATTTATAAAAAGCCATGTTTACAGTTAATGAGTGTATTCATTACCGTGCTTTGTCCTCACAATGACAAGACGTAACCTTCGTACTGCATAAATGCTTAGTAACATACATTGTATGTAGATTTCAACAACGGGTTCAGACGAACGACTTGTCACAGAAATCGACACTCGCCGGCGGAATACAATAAGAAATCACGCCATGTCGCATTAGGATCTCAAAGACAATCGATTTTATTCTTCTTGTTTGATCTACATTGGAATGAAAAAGCCGTTGTAAACAGAATCTTAAACGATCGATGAACTACTTCAATAAGTGAAAAAATAACAACCCACGCGTCTTACAACATCACAATAGCTCTCAGCGCGAACCATTTTAGAGTCTTCCCTGGGGTAAATAAAGTAAACGATTTGAGCGAAGCACCGAAAATCATGAACAATTACCAAGGCGTAAAATTCACGCAAAATCTTGTCATGACCAGCTGACTTTAACATATGCTGTTATACCTACATGTGACAGATCTAAACGCTTTTTTCACCCTCCAAATAGCCAAGCGATTATCGAACTATATAGGCGGTATTGAGTTACATTTGCTGGAAAACGAAAATCATGCATCGTAAAGAGATTTAGCTCCAAATAGATTGGCGTAGACTATGTTCTGTTCCAAAAACATGCTGTTAACTAATATTTCCGGAAAATCCATCGAGGAGTCGTTTTCGAAGACCCCTCGACAATGTCAACAGAGATAAACATAGCAGACCTTTGGCAGTGGGTAGTTAAGCATATACTATATAAATCACCAAACATCGCTACTTGTTAAAACGTGACATGAGGGTCGTTTGCCAGTATTTTAAGCCATGAAAAATTAAATCAAATCATATTAGAAATAATTTGCTCATGCTCGCCTGTGTTCCATACATTCGCGCATTCAACACAAGCTCCATGCCATATTAAACTGGTTCGACGGGCAAGGATATGAAAGTTTCTACCTGGAATTTTCTGACTTGTTGTTAAATAAACTTTCGTTCATACCTTGTACAACTGTGGAACTGCAGTTTTAAGCTCAGATGAGCCACAGATGAATCACCCCCAAGAAACAAGAGCAGTGTATCAGTGTATCTCTCAGCTCCGCCGAGCGAGCCATTATTTTCAACTTTCCACTCGCATGCGCGAATAACAGACATGCGTTATGAATAATTCACAAAGTAATTTTAATTTATGGCGCTCGGGGTGAAAACAATAAAACATAAAACGGAGCTTCTATTCTTTATATTCTATATCAGCAAATTACTTAGCCAGTGAATTTGCCAAAAAATAAATATCTTAGCGTACTGTAGTTTTAAAAGAACGATGGCAGTCAATTTTGTTTAAACAAAATGATTTATACAAGCTGCCAATATGAAGCAATATTTTCGGAGCTGTACGTGGACTGACCCAAAGTAATTACATTTTTCCGTGACAAGTTTTGATTCAGTTTTAATAGCTGCGGTTTAGGATCTCTTGTCGCTTCAATGTTGGTAAAAAGCCGCAATTTCATGGCAATTTAATTTCCCGCCAGGCTCAATTGAGTTTCTACCACAATTCTAACGAAACAAAGCCAGGTTACCAGGCAGGCAGGTGGATTTTTTACGTTTTGTTGGTTTGTTGCAAAGCATGCAAGTTTTTCCTCTACTTGATGCATAAAAGGCCCCACCTGACATTCGTCTACCCAATTAGAGCGATTAAGTGGGGAGCTTTAGCAACGAGAACGGGAAAAAAGCAATTTTTATCAAGCAAAACAATTCACTCTCTCTGCACGTGTATCTCGCTCTTTTTGTACATTTCTTTGCCGGCACTGCACGACTCCGAAATGAAAATACCAAATTTCACGTTTTATCGAGGACGCAAACAAGACTAATTTTTCTTTCTCTTTCTAAACCTGAGTGCGGTCTGCAAGAAAATTGAATTGTAATAAACGCGACAAAGTTTGGAAAAACGCGGATTCATAAAAGTGACGGTTTTCGCTGCAGCCGATTCTACCTAACTGCAAGCCCTTTTTCTGACCCCAACGAGAAAACGACTAAATTTTTGTTTCTTCTATCGCCAATGCAACCGACCGATAAACACTTTACGTTGTTTTGCTTTTAAACAAAAAACACACCCATTAGATGCAATTCTCTGATTTTTGATGAGCTCGCCTAAGATCCCACGCAGAGCTATAACAACTTGCTAATCGCTTTAGCCCATCGAAAACAGGAGTAAACACCTGACACTTGCTACGTAATGACAAATCTAGTTTCCGACGCGTACGTGCTTGAGTTTTGAGGGTCTTGAAGCGATTTGACCTTCATCTCTCTAATCCCATTATCCTTCCAACTCGGCGATGATAGACAGAAGTACAGGAAAATTATTTTGATTTCATTGCATTGGAATAAATGTTAATTGAATATCATTAGCTTTATAAATAAAGATCTCGGGCTTGTGCATAAGCTTACAATGAGGTCAATATGTTTTTTCTCCATATTTTGCTCCATATTCGCCTCATTTGCACTTGTGCGTCACGCAAGTCGTGAGCCGCTCGTACAAATAAGGGTGACGTCACCGCGGGAGATTTCCTGTAGGTTACCATGACGACTTCAGTAATGCTGATTTAAATATCAAATCCTTGTTCTGCAAATCATGCATGACTTTTAGCGTTTAAGAAGTCAAACCAACTACGTGACAGACAACTCCACACGGACGACTTCGTAAAACGCTATAAAAAACTAAAGCCATGCAAGAGAGAAACCTCTGCTCGCAGGGTACATTAAGTTTCTATTTAAAACCGCGAAAAAAGATTCTGGTAACTTTCCCTCATTGCTTTACGGCTAATATAAATCTTGTATATTCATTTATGTTCCAAATAGTTCACTGAACTCACTCGGAATAAAAGATGCTGAATCAAACAAAAATGTGCACAATTTCCCCTTTGAAGTGTGCAATGTGTTGATTTGCTTCAATGTATACCCGGAAATGAAAAGAATCATTAAACTCGCACAAAACAAAAAAGACATCAACAGACTCACCAATATAAATATATGTATCTTTGAAATTGAACTCAGCAATGGTTGTGCCTTTAAGATAAGTTCGGTTACGGGTCCTCTTGGTTACTGAAAACTACAGATTATATCACCTCCATACTACAGCAGGAAGTTCAGTCCCAGTGTCAATTGTTCCTCAGCAACAATTACTATTCCTTTTGACTACAAAGCGATCATGAAGGAGTATATTAAGAAAAAGGAAAAATTCTAACAACTTACAGGCAATAAATCCGATAAGAGGCTACAAAAATTGCTAAGATTTGCGTATGAGTCATTACTTCCTCATGATCGCATGACTTACCACGAGGTTTACCTTGCCTAAGATTTACAGTGCATGGCTCTTCCCCTCAGGGGGAGGGGATCTAAAGTTTTATACGGAAGGACTCTACCCTCAGGTCAAATCCCTTACCTATTTTTTTTAAAGAGAAAAGCGCGCTTGGGAGATCGAGCCCATTCACGTACAAAGCTTTCTTAAGGGGTTAGGGTTGAGAACATCGGAAAGAGTGATCTCTTCTGTTCAAACATTTGCAAACCGATTTACCGTGTCTTTTTTCTAACGAGTGTGTAGTGTGATGGTTTAAAATGGCTTTTGCTTTGTGGTGGCGCAAACATTGTAGGTTTGACACATGAACAATAGTTTTATTGGACGTCCGTTTTGCTTAGTACATATCAAGAGAGGACACACTCAGATGCTTTACATGTGATCTTGCCATTGTGAGGATAGGAATGGTTAGCTTTTGTTCTGTCAAAAAGCATGAAAAAGCGCTATGGATTACGACTTTTACCGAAGCTTTAGCTATGTCTTCCATCCTGTTCCCAAATCTCTTATTACAGAAGTTCATTTAAAACGGTAAATATTATGATTAACTGAAAAGTCGCTTGGGCTGCTTCTAGAATTTTCCAAATAATTATAATGGGTCGTCTTGTGGAAAACGGCATTGCAAACATGAATATCGAGCATCGATATCGAGGCCTGGTAAGAATCTCCTCGCCTGATTTCCATTTAATCCTCCTAGTCCTTGTAAACGTGGTGTTGGACAAATCCAGTCGACAAAACCATCCAGAGGATCTCGGCCTGCTAAAGAAGCTATCAAATCGAATGTAGTAGCTGCTTGGAATAGAAGTCATAGTGCGTTTCCCTGACCCCAAACAATACTAAAACAATGGGAAGACTGACATGTCATTGTTTCCTGTAACCAATTAGGAGAGACCTCAAAAGCAGCTCCTAACCCACTCTCCTTCGCCGTTTACTTAATTCCTCGGGGGGTACTGCCATATATGGGCTATATGGGTATGTGCCGCTGTGAAGGGTATGGTTTTCAAGCAGTTTACTCTAGGATAGGGTATATAAATCAGAGCGTTTGGGTCTAGAATAGGGTACCATTTTTCAGGAAACTGATCAGTTGGTTGAAGATTTTATCTAGACTGGGGAAACAGCTACTCTAGGGTAGGGGGATTTTGGGAGTTTACTCTAGTATAGGGTAGCAAAATTCAGCTCAACTAGCTCTGGGATAGGTCAAGGGTTCCAGGGTCCCAGCGGCACATCCCCACCCAGAAATTCCTAAAGTGCCCCCCCGGGCTTAATTCCTCTTAATAGAACTCAAAATTTCTCCAAATTGCTCATAATACATCTTCTGAGGCAAAAGGACGACAATATACGGTATCTAAGGTAATGCAACGTTTATTTAACGTTGACCCTTATACATATTTAGGGGGGTATAATATCTCCAATACATTTACTATACAATTACAATCGTTTGCACAAACAGATTGTGTGGGCCGCCTGTGATCCCACTCGACGGATGGCAACTGCTACATGAGGATTGACAACGGGAAGTTTGCATAAAGGTAATCATATTTTGAGGCGTAGGGGTGTCGAGGTTAAGTCTCTTTTCCTCTCATCTATAACATTTCCTGTGGACCTATGAGGTCCTGTTCGTCACTATTCCCTCTGGGCAGGCCTGTGTCCAGAAAAGCTTGTAAAACCATTTCATTCCCGTCCCTTGATTCTTTTGTTCATTCAACTGATAATCGAGCACAGGAGGACTAGTCCATATCCACGTCAATCCATGTATGAAGATAAATTTTCTTTAATAAATATCATTAGCTAACTAATCTAAACTCTTTTCATCATCTTGAAAGAGACAGCGAAAATCTCGGAGGTGGTCTAGATATTGAGAACAAACAAAGTAAGGTGGCGATGCTATCGGGTGTGGCCATCTGATGGTGATTAGCAAGATCAAGGTTCCCAAGGGTTTTCTTGTAATGATTGATAGTACAGTAGACTCCCGATAACTCGAAACCTCGCTAACTCGAACCTCGCGCTAACTCGAACCAAAATCGATTTCCCCTGGATTTCCGTCATACTGTAATTTTACCCTCGGTAACTCGAACCCTCTATAACTCGAACTCCCGCTAACTCGAACCAATTTTCGTTCCCCTTCAGGTCATTTTTTATATAATTTTACCCTCGATAACTCGAACCATGTTTTGAGCCCTTAAAAAGTCGGAAAAAGCCGTCTACTGGCGTCCGAAACATTGAATTTTGGATTTCCTATTGACGTGTTGTAGGAGTATAGTTTACTGGTGGAAGCTAATGTTGATTGTCACAGCCTAACGTGAAGCAACTTTTCTTCTCAAAACAGTAAAACGCATGCTCTATTTAGGGTATGTTTTGTTACGTTACGTTCTTATTTATAATCTAAAAGTATCTTTTAATTTTCACTTGTAAATGAAATAGAATATTCTAAGTAATAAAAAAAACCGAAAACAATTAATGGACTCAGCAGTTGACTCTAAAAGCTTCGGAGATTAAAATGATAAACCTTCTGTGATAGGATCATTCTAAAATTTGAATAAGTAGGTGGAAATGAGTTGAAATGCGCCTTTTAATGTCATTTGCTTCGACTAGCCATAAAACAAACGGCCCACGTGTCATCGGATGAGTAGTTTTGTCATTGAAACTGAACAATTTAGATCATTATTTTAGCTATTATTATTATCGTTATTATTTTTACATGAGAACGGTGCATGATGTAAACTGGATTGAAGCTTGTGGAGAAGAGCGTGTAAATTAAGAGCCTCTAATTTTCATGTGTTAGAGACTTCATGACATATTATTATTTATTTCGCGCTAAATATAATGTAAAGCAGTGGGACAAGGATGGCGCAGTGGTCAGAGCACTCGCCTCCTTCCAATGTGGCCCGGGTTCAAATCCCCGCGTTCTCGTCACATCTATGAGCTCTGTAGCCTCTAACCTGTTTTGCTTCAAGTGAGTTATTCAAGTCATTTTGGTCGCACCTAAATAGTACGCGGTCGTTCGCTCGGAAAGAAAAATCGCGGCACGATCCGTCCCACCGTAAATAGTCATCTTCGGATTATCGGCTAAGTCGGCTTACCTTGATGAATACGTTTTGTTAGTCCATGGGCCAGCTGGCGTGTGAAGTCTTGAAGTCTTGTTATTTTTTACCAAGTCACGTCCGCGGATTAAATCAAGGCGCTGTTTTCTCTAAAAAAAAACTCCCATAAAGTAGGCCAATAGATGGAAGACGTATCAGTCTGTTGGAATTCTGACAACGTTTAGTTGATCGTGGAAAATGAAGTAAGCTGGGAGGGGCGATTTATTCTCAAGAAACAGCCAGCAATACCGACAGTGAAGGAACGTAATAACGAGTGAATAATAACGTTATGATTCCCAGCAAGAATGATTCATACTTCAACTACAAAGTGACATACATTGGTTACCACAGACACATATGATACCCATTGTAAATATTTTTGTACAATCAACGGCTGACTACCGGAACCTCCTCCCGATCACGTGCAGTTATAGCTGCTCTTTCATGTTTTGACATTTGTTTCCTTTGGCCTCAGGGGCAGCCACAAAAGATTTTTTTATATATTTTTAAAAAGATCGTGACAATATATCCCATATCTCGTGATCTAAGGATGACTGTCTCATGGTGGTCTAAACCATTTTACTTAGAGCCAACTGTGAACGAGAGCTGCAAACTAGCCTGTTTAAGGAGTTCAGATAGTACATAGAGTGCGGTTTTCAGATGGTGTGGAACGAGTAAAATAACACGCGAGGAAAACGAGGGGGGAAACGAGGGGAGACTGAGACGAGGGAGAAGGAACCTTCAAGGGTTCCCTCCCCTTTCCCCTCTCTAGTTTCCCCTCTTTTTTTTCCTCATCAATTTTTCGCCCACGTTCTACTATCTGAACGCCAGGAACAAGCCAGCTGTAAGTATCCTCCACGATCTCCCTTTTCCTCTCCCCAGTACCCTCCTTGTTTGCCCTTGCTTTCTAGCTTTTAGGGGTCCCACAATACCTATAAATAATTGAAAAACATCAACTTTGCAAGGAAAGATCCTCCCCCCCCCCACCCCACCCCAATCAGATAAAGATTCTTGTCTAAAAACAACAGTGAATAAACTGACTAGTCATTCAGGCAACTGTACGAACAAAGTAGATGCTGCATAGCCCGCCTGACAGACCGATTGTCTCTGGGGCTTCAGTTTCTTCTATATCAGTAACGTCTTTTGCGGCAAGTGCCGTAAACTTAACATGAAGTTCTTTTGGAATGAAATTCTTCTCAGTCATTTTAGGACAACCAAACTCTTCAGTTAACGTGTGGCCTGCGTCGCAGTCGTAATTAACCTCGGCTATTACCGCACGGCTCCTTGTTTTATCTTATTTATAGCTTGTGAAAAGGCCTTTCAGCTGGGTCGCCGCAATGTAAGAGAATCCAAGAAAGTCTTGATTTCTGGATTCTACGCCGTGAATTGCCGGATTCCAGGTACTGGATCCCGGACTCTTTGTCATTGGAACTTAGATCAGCCGAATTTCAATCGTTAGTGAAATTCCGGATTCCTTGAGCTGTATTTCGGATTTCAAGACCCAGGATTCCGGATTCCTCCAGAAAAAATTCCCAGATTCCGGAATGTGGATTCCCTTATATGGGGCGAGTTGGGAATAAGGCCAAAATAATTCATGAGCAAAGGGACAGAAATGAATTTTCTTCCCCCGTCTTGCCTTCACATGCTAGAGAAACCCTTTTCGTTCCGCGAAAAGTAATCTTTTGACCGTCAAGTGCCTAAATTGACTCTCTTGTCTGACGAGAAAATTATGAAACATTTTAATTTTACATCCGTCAAAAATTTTGCTCGCCTATGCTTGTTTTCAAGTGCTCTACTTCAATTTTTCAACAATTTTATGTTCAATTCACAGTGATAATCTATGCGAAATAGGGCGAAGCCGATGCAAAGTAACACTGTCGCTTGGCAACCGCTGTCCAATAAGAAGTGACCTTCATGTTTAATGATTCGAAAAGAATAAATTACTTTATTCAAGAGCATCGTTGTTACAAACATCTGATGAGAATTTTATGATCAGGCAGTTTATACGTTGAGTCCTTGATCAAGAATCTCTTCTAAACAACAAGAGACTGAGTCAATGAAGTTCATTTCCCTTGCTTCTTGAGCTGAAAGCGGCGAAAGTCACATCGCAGCTGTTTTTCATTGTATTCCTTCTTGACTTCAAGTGAGCAGCAAAAATATGCCAGAGGAAAGAGGAATAACTTCTCCCGTGGCAAGCAACGTGAAAAATCCACCATGGGGAACAGAACCACAGACGCCTGGAACAGGTTTGTACAAGATATCGGCTGGCTTTACCCACGAAACCTTTATAAGTGAACTCTAAGCTCGATTGTCAAATGCTAGTGCGGGCATGACGACCGTATGTGTCATTGCCAGTGTGCGAATTAATCCATCTAATTATATTGATTGTTTGTTGATTTACATTTATAGCGTCTGGAATAAGAAAGAAGCAGTTTCCATGGACGACTTATGCCAGAGATTATGTTGGCGCTTCTGGTTCACCAGCGTATCCACAAAGGTAAAATATACTACTGCGCTGGGATATCAATGAATAAACGATCAAGCTCCAAGCGTAACTTGAAATGTGACGCTAAAATAAGCGGATGTCATGTTATACATGTATACCCGTCCGGTACTGTTTACTAATATAATCCGGTTAATTACTTCTTTCTTTTTACTTCGGTAAATTTTCTGTTTCCCATTTATAATATTCTGTATGTTACGGCAGTATAACGAGCATATTGGGAGTCGCTCGCGGCAAGCATACGTAATATGATCTAATTTTAGTTACCTTTGAGCCGGTAGAGAATCCCAGTGATAAAGTGAAGTGTCTCAATAACTCTGAGCAGCGCTGTCTGAGTGTCTTTAGAGTCGTCTTCTTGGTCATGGCTTTTGCCTAAGTATTCCGAAACTAAGTTACGAGACCCATTTGAGAAACTGTTACACTTCTTGATCCATATTATGCCCTACTTTGCCAAAATCGTGACTTCAAACTCTAAACGACACCTTTCAACTTCCTCTTACGCTGATGGTCACTTCAGTGATTCATCCCCAGTCACGCACGTGAAATCCGTGAAGAACTGCACAAGCACCAAACGAAACCTGCGGGTAAACACCACCTCTCGCTCAAATATTAGGGCAAATTCATGCCGGCTTTTCAGGTTGAATTTTTATCTAACACTTTTGCTCGTAAAATTAAAGCAAAGCTGATGAATCCATAAGTAACTGCAGGAGCCTGTGACCCTAGTGATGGGCTCCTGGCAACTGCAAAGGGATCGGGGTGACCTTGAGTTTCAAAATTACAGTTTGAGGTGAACAATGAGACTGAGAAACTTTCGAGTACCTCAGGGAAAAAAAACTGCTTATGATTTAAACAGCTCAATTCAGAAAAGTTCACGCCGCAGACCTAGAAACACCTAAAACACGCACTAAGAAGCGTCTTAGCTTGTACAGCGAAAATAAAAATCATCAAACAAAGGTATAATTCAGTAAGCCTATGAATAGTCTTACATTACGATTCATTGAATCTACAGACACGAAATTTGGTCAAATTTAGAACCACCTGCGCATGCACAGCAAGGCTGAGTACCGCGGAGACGCATATAAGGAGACAATAGAAGGTCTTTCAACAGGCTGTAGCACTGTTACATGTATTTACAGACTTCACAGCTCGAGATCACATAATATTTATTGACTCCAAGTAAGAGTGCATGGTTCTCTCTTGCTCCTAGTCAACATAACTAACTGTTTAACCTACGCATTCTTTCATTTTTTTTTTCTCAGAATGAGGACCGCTGAGCACCTCCCATCTGGTTGGCCTTTTGAGTCCAGTCATTACAAGTCCACATTCAGAACCCCTCAGTTAGGTTACTGTCGTCACAATGTGTATCCTTCATCAGTTCATCGAAAGAACAACCCACACGCTGCCTTGATCGACCCTTACCAATATCCAGACAAGGTAATTACTCAGTCCAAACCAGATTTAACCAGATCTTACACCACGGCAGCTTTACTGCAAAGCGAGAAGTCCCCGAACCCCGATCCCTAGGACGTCGAGACCGGAAACCAGCTTAGGGTCTAAAAATAGCTGAGAAATCAGTGAAGGCAATGCCTTTACCCTGGAAATGGCTAGGCCTTCGAGTAGCTCGGATGCCCACGTTGATGTGGCGTTCCCTGGCGGGTAAATAAAATACGTCTTCTAGATGATAAAGAAGGTCGACCAAGGGGATAGTGATATACCCTTAGACCCGGAAAAGATTTGCCAGTGTACACCAAGCTCGCACTATATGTTCTGCTTGTTTACTATGCTTTCCTCTGTCAATGCAGCAATCTGAAGGTAGAGAGCAACGATTATAAAAAATCAAGCCTAATAAATGTCAATTAAAGTAGGCACTTTCTAGTTGGACCTAATTAGTAGACCCGGCTTTTAAGCGCTTTTTTCAGCACTCAAAAGCTAAAGAAATGATCATGCCGTCAATTCAATAAAGAAATCCGCTGTCTGAAAAAAAGGCCAGATTCATGCACAGCGCCACAATTCTTGTAGCTCGTGACTAGATTCTAACCGTCAGCTTATTTGTTATTATACTCTTTGTAGTCATACGTGGTGTGGAAAAACAACCCGTCACTAAATCTCCCGCCCATCCGGGAATCGCAGTCTGCGCCGAACATTCTACAACACAACAAAAACCGCTGGTTTACAACGACGTATAACTCAGTCTTCAATGCGAAACCACTAGGTAAGGGAAACTGCCATTAGACAGCAGAGCAATGTATTTGGCAGCTAGCATGGTCCGGCCTCATCGCTGTGAAGCCTTAAGCTCTGTTTCTTGTTATAGGCTTCACTATTAGGCTTTATATTCCTTAGCCTCCCACGCAGACGTTCTTAGGGGTTCGTCACTGGGCAGGAACGCGTGACGAACCCCTAAGAATGTCTGCGTGGGATGCTATATATTCCTTCCCTTGCTTCCAATGTCTATTTCCGGGGGGGCTGCTCTAAAAGAATGAAATTTGTTAAAACTTCCCTCAAAGGCTGCTGCGCAAAGGCACCAAGAATTCGCCCATGGCCGTCATCGAACTTGCCATGCGGTAGATGTTTCCAGCTCGTGCGGATACTCAACAGCGAGTCGATGTCATCGATCGCGGGTTCAGTAAGTGCGTCATCTTCGTCGAGTTCTTCTGGCGAGGAGTTTCTCGTTCCCTTGGCGAGGGCTCCTGAAGTAGATTTAATCGCCATGGGCCACCATGGGGGAAAATCTGAACGCTTTGGTTGCGCGCACATGTGTCAGGTGGCTTCTTAGCGACACTGACCAGTAGAATCTCGTTTTGTGGGCGTGGCTTAAAAACGTTTCACTCCTAAGTTCAGGTAGAACCGTACCCTACGAGCAGAGGTCTATCTCTAGCATAGCTTTTAGCGTTTACGAAGTCGTTCGCGTGGCTTGTCTGTCGCGTAGTTGGTTTGTTTCACCGGGCGTAAACAAACCAACCACGCGACACCACAAGCCATGCGAACGACTTCGTAAACGCTAAAAGCCATGCAAGAGAGAAATCCGCTCTGCTCGTAGGGTAGTGGACCGATTCAAAAGCAGCAGGAGCCCATCCTGAAAGCAGCAGATTAAATCAACTGGCGCTGAGTAAGCTTGAATTTTCCACAAGGTACCGCGATAACGCTGGTCATTCTAGATTTAGAAACTGGCTCAATGGTACCAGTCGACGACAAATTTAACCTTCCCCCTAAACATGGTTGCAACAACTACTCCCATCAATTTTGTATCTAAATCATTAGACGCCATGAAAGAAACTCCATTTAACAAGCTAAAGGTTGGAAACTTACTGTTTTAAAAGAAATCACGAGTAATGTACGAGTACCAATCTTTGGGTTCACGTCTGTTTTACAATTTCAGAACTTCCAAACTACAAACCAAGAACTGCATGGAAAACAGATCGCTTCAGGCCGAACTCCAAAGGTAGGTTGGTACTTGGAAGAGAAATTTCTTTTCCTTCTCTCTAGGAAGAATGCGCAGATATATGTTACTGCACTGAGTTAATTAATTCACTCGAGAGCTCCGTTTTTATTTCCGGAGGCGCTAGTTAAAGACACTGGAATATGACGGGAAAATGCACTTGTCCGTGGTTGAGACTCGAACATTTGTCTCGCAAAATTGCCACTTTAAAATTTCGTTAATCAATATGGGTTCTGTTATAATGGCGTTCTTAATCCTGTGTTTTTATCAATGCTATAAAATTTATTCCCTTTCTGCCCTACGAAACCTTTGGCATGAGAATGAGTCTAGTTTGGCTGTGAGGAGTATAAAATGACGTGTTTTAGCGTACAAGACGTCGAATAATTTGCTAGCGTGTATCACATTTGGCTCAAGGATAATACTTAAAAATAATATCAGTTTTGCTATGGTTTATGTTTCTAGCCCAGACCCCTGCTCTTCACTGGCAGACCGAGTACACCCATGACTATAGAGGAGCCCGGGGAAAACCATCTACAACTGAACGGTGAGTGCAGTCTCAGCAGTCAAGAACTCTGTCGGATGTGCCAATTGCAGCCCCTTGACTCTGTGATGTCAAATCATATTCGCCCGAGTCTGGCCAAAGACCTTTTCACTGACTTTAGCAATCGTCGAGTGCCCGTACAAAAATATAAACCGGGGAGGATTTATTGACCGCTTGTGAGAGGGGTGGGGGTGGGCCAAAGCACGGTCGGTGAATTTCTCGAAAAAAAAACTGTTTCAGGCCACAAACCAGAACTCGATGTCAATTTCTGTGTCTATTGGAGTTTTCTAGTTGGACGGGGAGTTGAGCTCTGCACAACCACACAAATCCATTATATGGGAGAGCGAGACCCTAACCAAAACCTCCGCCTGAACGCGAGTCAAACGACCTGAACACTCGTGACCTTCCTCCCCCCCCGACCCCCCGGCGTTGAGGCAGTTACTCATTGTTATGCCATCTTGCTTTCTTATTTCAGACCCTATGATATGTCCTGGAGCAACCTCAACATGTGATGTCATTCAAGACAGTGTTATGTGTTTGAACAACAGAGCAGCGACGAAGTCGTAAATCAAATAAATAATAAGTTGAATTTGAGAATGTAGAATAGCTTTTATTTGAACGGCTGAACAGTTTGTACTTCCTGTTAATTGAATTTTAGAAAATTAATAATTGTTTGTAATATGTTAAAGAAAGGCTTTGTGGGTGTCAGTTTTGTTCTTGTGTCCTCCCTTGCCCTTCTCCGCACCCTGCATCAATGTAAAATTATGCGGATAGAATTACTCGATTGTACAAATTATTTTTTTGAATGTTACAGTGCTATGTTTAGAAGTCAATAAAAGTTAGAAACCGTCCTTTTGTCAAAATTAGTCTCCTTCTATCTGAAAAACTAAATATATAAACCCAAGGGAATCTGGCCAACAGTTCGGGATAATTTTGAATCCAAAACTTTTTCTTTCCGGATTAAAAAATTCTTACGTCCACACGTTTCCGGTATGCAAATCGAATTTGCCCGTCCACACGTATCCGACACGTATCCGGATTCACTCTCGTACCCAGAACTCCTCTGAGAATATTGGCAACAGAGCATGCGTCGTAAAGCGCGCGAAATTTGCACCTTGCTCTGCCTTGAGAGCACCTGGGAACGAGGTTGTCATCTTGAATACAGCATTCACGGTAAAGAACTGGGCTCGATCTTGCTAAGTCACCGGATAAAATAATATCCGGATTTAGCGTGCACACGATTCCGGATTCAAAGCGTTTCATAAAAAATTTCCACTCTAGAGAGCGGATTCGCATGCCGGATTCACCGGAAACGTGTGGACGGAAGCCGTATCCGGAAATAAAAATTGCAGATTTAAAAATATCCGAAGAGATGGGGGGGGGGGGGAGCTCAGATGTGTCGTCACAGTGTCGTTCAGTTCGAGCTCGCTAGTAGCGTTATCACGCAAAACGTTTCGTGATATGGGACGATTTCGAATTCGTTGAAAACCGATGGTTTGACGGAATACGCGCGACAAAAAAGACTAGACATGCATATGACTATTGGTCAAATCGTCTGGGGGATATTGAACGTGCAATTTGGAAAGAACGCATGATAATAATCATTGTGTTCTAATGGTACACATTTACAACTTATTAGGTACAAATGGACTTTTAATTGTCAATTTTATTATATTGATTTTAAATATCTCTGGTCATGGAAAATGAAAACTTAACCAAGGTTGGCTGAGGTTTTAACTGTACACTCAGCTAAACCAATTCATGATAAACCAGTACGCTTTTTTCTGCTTGTACGTAGCCGTCTTGCAATGCCCATTGTTTCTTTTTCCTTCAGTTTCTTCTTGGTGGCAATGATCCCTAACTTATACCAAATAACGCAAAGCAAAAGATCAAAACGACACCCACACAATATTAGCTATAACCAACACTGACATTTCTGCAAAACCAACTGACATCCTTTTCGGTATTTTCACAAAGTTCTTTGTTTTTGTTCTAGTTACAAAACTAGCACGGTATAAGTCGTAACTTGAAGGATCATTGAATTGTGATATTGTATAGGTATGTAGAACAGTGTTAAAAAAAAATACGTAAGCAGAAATTAAGACCAGAACAATGTTAACGCATTGATCAATCGATATGTTCTTCAAGTCTAAATTATGAGTTTGTTTTATCTGGTCTATGAATAAATCTCAAATAATTTTCTCATTGCCCGCGTTATTAACCGGCTAATTGCACGTTTACACCTCTTCGGCCGTCGCTGTATTTACCATCTCTCATTCTGCATTTCAAATTGATTTTCATTTCCCTAAGGAATTATTTTAAAAGATGTAAATTAAAAACACAAATCATTTCATTACTCCGCTTAAACAACACATGTGTTGTTAAGTGAGTCCCGTGTGATCTTCATTAATCAAGCAGCCAGTTCCTTAATCGCAATGTTATCGCAACACTGAGTGAAATACCTCTCAAAGGGCATGGCGTGCGCCTAGAAAAAGGCAAGAAACGCAGAGAAGGATGCATAAAATTCATACTTTGTCCACTAATTATGTTTTCAGAGGAGAAGTTGAAGGTATGTCTCACAGTTTCTGTAATGGAGGCAAATATATTCGAGGCAGTTTGACTGCGCGTGGGTCTAAAAATTCACGTCACCACTCTTGAAGGCAACATTGATTTTTATATCTATTGCTCCCTCCTAAAACTCGAGTGACCACTCGAGGATACGTCTATTCCGTAAACAAGATGAAGTTCTGTTTATTACACTAATTTGTTAACTCCATTTAAATGAATGTTCCTGTTTCTAAGGGAAGAAAGCGTGAAACTTCTCAGCCTTTCTTCACACAACCCAATATAACTTTATCATAATTAGCCAGTATTTCACACGTAATCCTGTAGTTGAATCAAACCTGTTATGCTGACAAGATCTCTGATCATTCCCCGACGGTTCCGGATCACGGAGAATACGAAATTATACCAAACAATAACAAGTCTCCATGATCTACTGAAATATAAATAAACCCTCTGCGCCGAATGGATAGTTTATGGTCTTCGTAACTTGTTAACAGTGTGAACCGAAGTATAAAAAAGGATTGCTCCTCTGTTTGCACAAATTATTCCCTTTGATTTGTACAGATTATAAACAGATTTCTTTGCTACGGATGTCAAAAAAACTATCATTTGAGGTTTTGGAAGTAAAATAAACATTTGCCATGTTTACTTAGGCTCTTCGGTAAGAACTCAATATATTGTCGCTATAGCGATAATTTATTCCCCCCGTGCTTAGCCTGTGTACAGCTTTTTGGGCTACCCGTGCGTAACCCCATTCGCACGCATCAGCATGACTCAGTGAACTTTCAACGGTCAAAGTGAATTTTATTTTCCGTTTTGGTACGCATACTGTCAATGGAAGCTGTGGATCATGAGCACCGCTGTGTTCTCAGGTTTGCACAATAAATATCTCTTAACCCCTTTATTTAACATTGTTCCCCGAAATTAACCCCTTCACTGCCAGAGTGTTTGATGGAGTTTTGTAAGGCGAGTCTAACTTTTGAGTCTGCAGACGAAATCCTATGATGTGACCATTCAAATAAAACCTCTATGCCTGTACTTTTACATGATGCTATTTGTTTGTCAAAATTTTAGAAAATGAAATCTGGAAATTTGGTCGAAATTTGCGTTTGGCCACATTTGGAAGTGAAAGGGTTAAGAAAAAAAATACATATTTTGTAAAACTAAGAATATTGTTGACTAAGAGGTTTCATTTGAATGGTCACAGCATAGGGAAGGCATTTCCGTATGGACTGCGGGAGTGATAGGGGAAAGGTCTTAAATGCTTAAAGTCTTGTTAACTGTAAAATGAACTATGGGCAACTGGGTTTGCAGTTGACAAGCTCACCAGTACCTGGACGATGCTTTTTCTTTCTTTTAATTTCTTCAGTCGATTTATCTATTCAGAGTAGCGAGGAATCTTGAACTTCAGTTCCTAGTTGCTTTCGGAGACCGAAATCGTGACGTAAATGATAATAGATATAAAAGACTGAACTATTTGAAGCATCGTTGCGTTTCGTTTAAAGGTAATAGTTTACTAGGCAAGCGTACTACATAAAGATAAATGAACATATATGTAGTGCTAGTATTTGTAACTACAACCATAAGATGGGATGTACTTAAACACCCAGAAAATAAACTTTGCTTCACCGAAACTCTATATCGATTCAACAAGCAGTAAAAGTTTGTTTGAAACGTGTTTCACGCAGGAAATGAGTGATAACATATTCCAACGTCGTTTTTTACGGGAAATGTTAAAATGCCTAGAACAGAGTTATGCCACATCTTGTTATGACCTTTTCTTTTCTTTTCTCCCCTTTTTTGCCCGTCAGAACGATCGACACACTTTTACTAAGGAGAAGGAAAGGAACGATATCAACCTATCGAACGTGGCCTTGCACAAAGACGGATAGTGGTAACTTAAATGACCAACTTTTGTTTTTTTTTTCTTGCAGCTGCCAAAGGAATTTTATCCTTACCCACTGTCACGGAACAAAATGAACGTGCACGCCATCATTCAGTTCCAGCAATTCTACACAACTCAAAGCGAAAGACTTCCAGACTAACAGTAAGGAGGCGAAGTACAAGATGGAACCTTATTGCCACCAATGTGCAGGTACGCGTATTTCTTAAAATTCGCTCATTTTGATCTCCACGCCTCGAGGAAAGAATTGCCTATATCAATACTCAAACACCAATTCATTACTGTAGATAAGAAAAAAATTTAACCCCGTCATCCAAATCACAATCCTGAATCCACTTCTGGGGCGAATTGTGCGCAGGTAAGGCTCGATTACCACGCGCTAGTCTGGACAAACGCCGAACTCGAGATGGCGAAAACCGAGCCTATATCCAGGTGCCATGAGAGTTTTATACAGAGATCGGAGTATCCGCCCTGTGGTCCAACCCCTTATCCTCTTATATACCATTTTGGTAGAAAAGGTACCCTTTTTTTACCCTCTATTGACAAAAGGTACCCCTGTCACATACGAAGTTTAGAACGCTGTCCCTTTCAACTGCTTTTAAATGTGCATAAATCATTAAACCAAATTATGTTTCCTTGACTTTTTCACGGCCATAAAATGAGTCTGTTAGCCCTTATAGGTCCTTTCACAGGCCGCAATGACAGATTTCCCTACCCTTATACTTCAAGTACGAAATCCCTGCCCTTTCATACACCTGAAGCCTGAAAAAGGTACCCCTTTCGGGCGGAGCCTCCACGTATAGGCCATTATAGGGAGTACCCCGGCTTCGGCCAAAAAAATATGAGAAGGACGCGAGGGAGAAAGGAAGAAAGGGGACCTAGTGCGCCCAATTCCCCACCCCCCCTCCCCCTACCCTTCCACTTCTAGCTAAAATGAACCTTTACGGAATACAAGGTACAGCTCTTGATTGGTTTAGGTCGTATTTAACTAATCGTACACAACGATGTCTTGTTAACGGTTCTCTTTCTAGAATCTGGGAAAATCCTTTTATTTATTTCTTATTTATATTAATGACTTGCCAAACTGCCTTTAGCGCCATGAATGTTTAAATTACTTATGCTTTGATGTGAATTCAATTTAACTCTGAGTCACGATTTAGATAACCTAAACAAATGGCTTATTTCAATAAACTTACTTTGAACACTTCTAAAACTGAATTCATGCTAATTGGCTCCAGACAAAAATTGAGTACTTTGAACCCATTGAGCTCGATTAATAATGTTCCGATAGAACACGTTTCCTCTGTCAAATCCTCGGAATATTTATTGATGAAAATTTATTGATAAATTATCTAAAAAGGTCGCTTCCGGAATTGGAGCAATAAAAAGAATTAACCTTTTGTCCCTCCACCTAATATATAAACTCACTAATTCAATTTTTTTAATCTTGTCTGGGGTAATTTTTATTTGACAGGCTCTCCGTTTTTCTTTAACCTTCTCTAGCTATGATGCTGATGCTAACCGTTTGATTAGACAACTTTGGAAAGACAACTCAATTTCAAATACAGAAATCATAATGGTATACAAGTCTTTAAATGGCCTTGTTCCTGAATATTTATCATCTAAGTTTGTTAAACGAAATGAAACGCGTTACTCCCTGAGGGACTCTGTTAACAAACTATTTGTCCCATTTCCGAACTCGAAAAAAGCGTCGATTCTCTGGATAAAATCAATCTGTCAATTTAAAAGATTAGTTAATGTTCATTTTTAATGTTATACACGGCATTCATGAAAAACAGGTTTTAGTTAGATTAAAGGTTTTGAATTTTGTTTAGGATTTTTATTTTTAATTTTTTAAATTCCTGATGGATTTTACCGTGTTTAAATAAAGATTGACTTGACTTGACTTGACTTGACTTTTTTTAGCGCCAACTGTCATTCATGGAAAAAATTTATTATATGGCTTTAGCGCATGTGTTTAAATCGATTTAACAGTTTAGGTGGCTTAGCTCTAATGCAAAAAGCAAGACGATGACATACAATAAGTGACACCGAAACCCCTATTTTAATTTATGCGCAAGCTTTAATTAACCAAAAAAGAATATTTTTTTTAATTTTTGCGGTCTCTTTTTTCTTTTCTTGGTTCTCTAATTTAGACAACCGACAGTGTCAGTAAAAATTGCCAATGACAAGTTGAATCGACACGTCGATTAATAAAATCATGGTACAAAGGCATAGGATTAAATGAGCTTTTTATGTCTCGATTGTTAAAAAGCATTGAATGACTTTTGTCTACAATAGGTCATTTGACTGACTAAAATTGACTTTAAGCAACAAAGGATTCCTTTGCACCCAGCCGTCTGATAGCTTTGACTGTTTCGCCCGTCGTCCTTGGATTCGGCAAAATAAATCATGATTGTCGGGGTAAAAAGACACAGAAATTATACGAAGTCACCAAATAGAGCACGCAAAAGTACTCAGGTTTGTCCTTAGTGACTGAAAGCTTAGTTTCTTGTTTAAATTGCGCTATAACTTTCTTGTGTGTCCCGCCGAAGGCTAATGTCAAGTCTGCTCGCGCGTTTTGTATTCGTCACCTTCGTAGCATCGATAAGCAATACCTGCGGAGCTGAGCTGCCCTCGGCAGAGTTAAAACTGTATATTGCTGTATTTTAGCGCATGCGGACTGTTCAGTGAGACTGCTTTCCGTTGTATTGTTTATAGATATTACAGTCTTGCTACAGATAGTTGGCACTCACTCGGTAACACATTCAAATACATAGGCCTACATGACGAATTTCGCCAAACTTGCGTAACTTGTCAGTGATTTCTACAGTGAAATCTCGAGAAGAAAACCTTCAGAGTCTTCAGTTACCGCAAATAAAGCTTGCGCCCTATTATTTTTTTATGGCTTTGCGTAAAAAAGTTGATTTTGGGAGCATCAATTTGGTGAACAGTTGATAGTATTAAAACATACATGCTCACAGAGTTCTCGTACATTTCTGTTGTTTTTCATTCATCATTAAACTAATTCCACAAGATGTCGTATGCACTCAATTTTATGTGGAATTCTTAAATGGATTCGGTCCAGTGATATTTAGTAATTGATCAGTCACGAACAACAGCAGTCCTAAAATGTCTGCAATCATTGACCATTTTGCATTATGAGCAGTAGTTCAAAGAGCAGAAGCGTTATACAAAACTAATAACTCGGCGCTCAGTTTCGTTATATTCAAAATTCGTGCTGGACTGTTCATTAAGAGAGAAAAATGCAATTAATTTACAGCTAACTTTGAAAGGCCGCTGGCACTGCCAACACTAATTAAACATATAGTTTGATTTGCCTCAAAACAGACGGTTTCTTTTAACTGTGACCAATTAATGGTTGTCTGCAGTACTCAAATTTTAGCATCGACGACGGCAACGGCAGCCAAAACGTCACTAATGAAATGAATTTACGTTTTTTCAGATTTTTTCGCGTTTATTCCAAATTGTTGAAAATGTCAAATGTAGGCGAATGTCCTCGAGTTTGTACTCAAGTTAAGAAAGAGAAAGAAAAATTCGTGGTCACTTGTTTACGTCCTCCATAAAACTTGAAATTAGGCATTTTCACGTCGTAGTCGTGCGCAGTGACGGCGAAGAAATGTACAAAAAAGCGAGATGCATGTGCAAAGTTGTTTTTTTTCTCTCAATAAACCTATTGCTTTTATGACGTTCTCGTTGCCGTCGTCGTCGCGTCGTTGCTAAAGCTCCCTTAATAGAGAGCTTTAGATTCTGAGACAAGGACGACTTCGAGTACGAGATTTTCTCAACACTGAGTATTAATCACGCGTGAACCAGCGTCATTTTGGCGGGAAAACGTGATAGCGGTCGTCATTCTACCACGAGTTTTAGCGAGAATGTCGAACTAGTGGCGCGGGAAGAAGTTATCAATTGTAAGAAGTTTTATCATTCTGCTATTGGGAGAGGGCTTACCTTCGTTCAGTATAAATAACCGGGCTAACTTTTTTTGTGAAAAGTAGTAAAATGAAGCTTTCCGGGGTGTCTTTTTTGAGAACACGCGCAAAGACTTTACGTTAAATCTCGTATTCGTACTCATCTAATGCTCTCTAATGGGGCCTTGCGATCCGACGACGTAAACGGCGTCGAAGACATAAGCTTAAAAAATTAATTCATTGGCGCTTTTTTCAGTCCTCAACGGGATTCTTCCAACTCACTTACTCTGTCAAATACGGGGAATTCTCTTGTGGAGATGATTCCTAAGAACCATATTAAAGTTCAGAAAGAAAAAAGAAAATTTCGTCGTCGCTTGTTTACTTCCTTCATGAAACGTGAAAATACGCGTTTTCACGTCACGTCGTAGTCGTGAAGTGACGGCAAAGAAATGTACAAAAAAGCGTGATGCAGGTGTAAAGTTGTTATTTTGCTAAATAATGTAAACCTATTGCTTGTAGTTGCTTGTTTGATGTTCTTGTTGCCGTCGCCGAAGCCGTCGTCGGATCTTCTGGAATTCCAAATAGGTCCAGAACTTTGCAATTGAGAAAGGTCATTGAAGTCTAAGGTCTCTGGACGAGACCAGACTAAAAGTCGAAAATGTTGTTGTTTCCAGCTGGACAAAGAACGCCTGTGCGAATAAGAAATAATGAAATAATAATAATGATGATAATAATAATAATTATAATAATAATAGTAACATTAATAATGATAAGGAAAATCCGACGAAGATTAGATTTGTAAGGTCTCTCGTAGAAAGAGAAAATCAGCACTGAGAAAGAGACCGTGCGAGACTTTACTTAATTAAGCTTATTCAATTTCACCGACTTTGTTTTCAACAGACAAACCCGATGTTTCACAAAAAATCTCGTCGCTTGCAGCGCCAAGCATCGTTCTCTGGGGTTGCCAGCAAACTGATGGACGCAACAAGCGAGAAGTCGCGAAAATTAAGCCGGCAAATCAACAAAATGGCTCGTGTTCAAGAGGAGAAGGAGTTACAGGAGAAGAGAGAACAGGAAGAAGCGGCTCAGGAGGAAAAGAAGAAAAAAGAAGAAGGATTCGCCAGGTCCATCATCACTCGCAAGTTGTCGATCTTCGGTTCTTATCGTAGGATGTCCTTCTCTACTCGGAAACCGGTCATTATTGTAGAGGTTAGTAACCACCCCCCCCATCGCCCCCTGCCCAAACCCGCGCCGCAATCCACAATCTTAACGCCGTTTTTACAGACCAGTTTGTTTTTAGAGAGATTTTCCCCGCGAATTTTGACTTTCAAATACGTCTTTCTCATGGTTGATAGTATTTGCTTTTTCTTTTGGTCATTATCGCACTATGGATACACACACATATGTGCTTCCAGTTTTCGCGGGAGAAAGTACTCCAAAAAGATGCTACAAATACGTAAAAATAAACTGACCGGCAAAAACGCCGTTGCGTGGACTAAGTATGGGAGTTGCACGCACGGGGTTACTGGCTAAAACAGACTATCATCTGGGAGAAATTCGTACTTCGAGGGGGGCTTGCAGTGGGATGACGCAGAGAATGATGAAAGATCTCTAAGTCGTTGTTGTTTGGATGTCGATTAGCGTAGTGAAATGAACCCAAAAGAAAATTCAAATTCATCTCCTCGATACATTGGCCACGGTTGTTCAAACGTTGGATAGCGCTATCCGCCGGATAAATCACAATCCGACGGATAAGTATCAGGACAAACCATTTCGATATCGCCTGTATAGGAATTTATCGGTGGATAGCGCTATCCACCGGATAACTCACTATCCGGCGGATAACTATTAGGACCGTAAATTGCGATATCCACTGGAAAGGGATTTAGCCGGTGCTATCTAACTCAACGTTTGAACAACCGCGACCAGATCGATACAGGTCGGTACTATAGTTTTCTCAACGCCCGCTAAAAAATTGCTCTTGTACTGAAAGTCTTGAAATATAAAGTATAAGAATTGGACCGAATTGAAATTAGTGAAAATAATGAAATTATTGAATAGTGAAATTATGGTCGGCGGAGCTTATGGCGTCATACCTTCGTGTGCCCCTACGAAGGTCTTAATAGACGTCTTAATGGGGTTAATGGTCGTCATTTGTCAAAACGTTCCTGGCCGTCAGCCGCCACTAACTTTAATAATCTGAAGAAGCCCATATAGTAACACTCAGGCAGCTGGTTGTGACCATTTCATAAGCACAAATCAACTTTATTTATTTTAGTATTTATGTTGACTGATAGAATACAATCTCTCAAAGAGATTTTTAAGCCTTTCCGGAGCAGCTGTTTTTCTTTTCGGTCGAATATGAATTTAATCAGTTTAAATAGATGATCAAAATACCGTATTAAATTGAAGTGGTGTTTGGCTCTTCATTTTAATCATGCCATTTTAGTACCAATAATCAAAAGAGTGATGCAAAACCGGAAACTGAGAGTGGGAGCCTCTGTACCTCTCTGCGAGTCATCTTTCGGGGCTTTTAGTTTAAAACAAGTAGTTTAATATCGGTGAATTTATAAGTTAGGCAAAGAGATTTAGGAGGATCAAGCTCAGTAAGTATTTATAATAGCATAAGTGATTAACATAATTTAATTTGCCCTGAGGATATAATATCAAGCAATGATATCACGCTATGAGGTTACGAGTTTATTGTTATATGTGAGTTTTTAATACAGATAAGTGATCCACAAGAAGTTCTCAATAACCTCATATATCTTACCGCATTAACCCGCCTCTAATCTGGGTATTGCTTGATCGCTTAAACAAATTTAACTAATTATAAACAGAGATACGATGTAAAAAAAAAAACGTTCATTACACTTTTCTTTTTTACTTGGACGTCATATCCGAGACCGCTTAATGGGCAAATACGCATTGTCGAGTTTATAATGCAATTGCCATTAGTACGTCGCTGAAAAGAAAACTGTCTATATCTCAAGTTATATTTAGCATTCAGCCATAGACAGGGCGACAATTGCGGTGAAATTAGTCGGCTCCGTGTTTATTCTAAAAGTTCCGATCTTTTGTTTTAAAATTTTTCTTGACAATGTGCTTTGATGCGAGAGAGTCCTACAGAGCTGATTATGTTTACATGTGACTCATGGTGACTCAACCTCTTAAGCCTTGTTTTCCTTCGAATTTAAATTAGCTGGCATTCCGCTGCTTAGGCTAAGAAACTTTTAAACGAGATTAATTAAGCGTTACTTTCTCTCTTGTCGATGAGGACTAATGACTGTTTTGGTGACACTGATCAACTTTTTGAAAGTCAGTTCAAGACCTCTTGGCCCTCAGTTACACTGTAACGCATAAGCTTAGCATATTACTGTTTTCACTTTTCTCGGAATTACTGTGCGATTAACACATCGGTTCAAAGTATTTGATGGTTGTTCATGATTTTGACTCCGGTATAATTGAGAGGAGAAATATCTGGTTTCTCTGGGTTCACGAAGATTGCGGAGCAGTCTCAGAACGTCCAACGTGCAAGCTAGGACAACTTGCAACAAAGGGAGCAATTTGACATTGGCGCCTTCTTAAAACCGATAATGGCCAACGTGTTTGACGACAAAAAAGACAAGAAGCTTATCAATGAGTTCTGGAAAGAAGGAACATTCCCACGAATATCTTTCACTCGGAGCCTGTCCGAAAAGGATCCACCAAGTTCCCAGAAGAATAGTAATAGCGACAAAGCAATGGATCCAGTGGAACTCCCTATAAATGTCAGCAGTATAAATATAGACAGAGAATCGAGAGAAAAAGAAGATGAGAGGTTTTCTCGACATCTGTCGTCTTCGTTGAATCAGCTTACAAGTATTCCTCAGACAGATGAACCAAACCCTTTGAAAGTTGGAAAAACAATGTCTAATTCGGACACAGAGCTTAGAGGAATAAAGTTTGTTGCTATGAACAACGAAAGAAACTCAACAATGGTAAACAAGCCCAAAATAGAGCCAAGAATGTCCTACAACCAAGCTTTTATGAAAGGAAAAAAACCGTTAAAAAGACGCGCTTCTATGCCTGCGAATTACTTGGGAGATTATCTCTCTGTTAACAACATTCGGAAACGAGCACATTTCCTCGGTACAAGGGACACTGATGGCGAAACATTGAGTAAAGTTAAAAACGCTGGTAGGAGGCGAGTTAAGGTTCGTCCAACAAGTCCTCAACCATCTCTAAAGACGGAAGAGGCCGATGAACCTGAAAGGGATTTAATCGAGATAGAAATTTCAGCTGAAAATGAAATTAAGGACGAAACTCGTCCAAATATAGAGGTGGGTTTCGTGACGCTGCAGTTCTCGTTCGTTACGGTCCATCATTATGAAGTGAGGATTGCGTGTCATTGTAAAATATCCTGGGGGTACTTTTGATTAGCTCCGCAATAACTTTGAAGACTTGTTATTTCAAAACTGGTCACAATTTAAATTCGCCAACAAATTTGATGACCGGTCAACTTGGCCCACGCGAGGAGGCTGGTGACAATCGATATAATTAAAAAAAAAAACTAAAAATGCTTTTCGGCATATTGAATTGAAACCTTAGCTGTTAAAATGTTGTCGCTACAAAATATTATTGAGATAAAATAAATTGCGTCAAAAAGGAGTCAAATAACGTTACGATGACATCAACGGAACTGTAGTTCTGAGTTCTGTTAAAAGAATTAATGTAACATCACTTTGATTAAATTTTAAACGTGTACAAAGCAAGTGTTTTATTTTGCTGTCTTTCTTATCGATTTATAACAAGCATTTACTTGCATATTTAATACATTTATCTATAGCAATTTATCTTCATTTATTGCTTTTAACATTTTCGAAGCGCTTATTATAATGTCTTTTTTTCACAGCCAATTGAGAGATTTCGAAAGATTGTTCAGTTGTTGAGTTTCCTTCTAAAGATGAAGACTTCTATGGACAGGTCAGTGGCACACGACAAGTGGTCCGTGAAAAAAAAACCTCTTTACATTCGGTTTTCGCGAGAGTGATTGTCTATTTTCATGCGTTTCAGTAGGGCATTAGAACGGATGGGAAGCCAACGATCGAAATAATAGATTAATCAGTAAAATTACTCAAATAATCGCTTTAGCTCTTTGAAATACAATAGCAAGTGTTTTCTCAAACTTTAGTGAAAGAAAAGGTTTCTATCAGAAATCACGAAAGACCTAAGAGCACATTAGGTGACCAAAGTGAAGCTCAGTAACATGGTTAAGTAATGACGACAAGGACGGTGTTGAAAACCTCTCTACTTAAAAGTTAATTTACGCTGTTTCAAAATTCATAACTCTTATTCCATGTCGTTTGATTTGCCAAATGTTGCTAGTGAATTTTTCTGGAGTTGAATTCTACAAAAGGCTCTAGCGAAATTCAGGAAAACAAAAAAGAAGTGTGATGCACGTGCAGAGTTGTTGTTTTGCTAATCTAAACCTGTTGCTTTTTTGCCGTTGTTGTTGTCGTCGCCGGCGTTGTCGCTTAAATTTCTTATTGCTTACATGACGTTGATTGCTTTAGGAAATACCGTTCCCAGAATGCCACAAATGTGTTTGCTGAGCTGGACGAGGAAGCTGTAACCGGGGTGGACTGTGACGGAGTAGTGTTTGATCCAAGTAACTTTAAAGCTGTACGGGAGGTGAGTCTATACTGTCACGTGGTTTTCCTTTATTACTGCGCATGCATGACGGGCTTTGCTCACCAAAAAAAAATATGAACGCGCATTTGTTGGCTTTACTCGCGTGGAGACACACGTCAACCCTAAGATTCCATTTTGCTAAAGTAATGCTTTGATTTATTTAACGTACGATAATTGACTCGGTTGTGTTTTACAAACACATTTTTTTGCAACCCAAGCTTCTTAATTAAGCCAGAGAAGGGAATTTTTTGTCGTCGATTTTCATTGACAAAATCATTTGTAAGAACTAATAGACATGTGAGTGTTATAACTTTTCATTTGACGTTTTACAGTACGGATAGCTCGGTAACAAGCGACAAGATAATTTCATTTTTACATACATATATTAGCATCGTTTGAATGTAACGAATAATACTAATAATAAAAACGTTTTGATGGTGTTATCATGATTTTGGTTAAAACAATTTTGTCACATTGTGTCGCTGAAAGTTTATCTCATTACCCAAGCAATTATTGTAATTAAAATAAATTCTATGTGAATTTCTGAAAGAAAACTAAAGCAAATCAGTGTACACTCCATCACCTTCTGCAAATTATAGCCCTGTGTCAAAGAAAAATAGTTTTAAATCACTCAATAATGATGTTGATAATAATAGCAATAAACAATAATAATAATAATCCGAAACAGAACTAGTTAGTACAAAATGAAAATGATGAAAATTAGGTCCTGTCATCAGATAACAATAGCCCATAAATGAACTGACTACCCAAGGGAAACAGAACCAGTTAGTACAAAATGAAAATGATGAAAATTAGGTCCTGTCATCAGATAACAACAGCCCATAAATGAACTGACTACCCAAGAGAAACAGAACCAGTTAGTACAAAATGAAAATGATGAAAATTAGGTCCTGTCATCAGATAACAACAGCCCAGAAATGAACTGACTACCCAAGAGAAACAGAACCAGTTAGTACAAAATGAAAATGATGAAAATTAGGTCCTGTCATCAGATAACAACAGTCCATAAATGAACTGACTACCCAAGAGAAACAGAACCAGTTAGTACAAAATGAAAATGATGAAAATTAGGTCCTGTCATCAGATAACAACAGCCCATAAATGAACTGACTACCCAAGAGAAACAGAACCAGTTAGTACAAAATGAAAATGATGAAAATTAGGTCCTGTCATCAGATAACAACAGTCCATAAATGAACTGACTACCCAAGAGAAACAGAACCAGTTAGTACAAAATGAAAATGATGAAAATTAGGTCCTGTCATCAGATAACAACAGTCCATAAATGAACTGACTACCCAAGAGAAACAGAACCAGTTAGTACAAAATGAAAACTGTGATGAAAATTAGGTTTTGTCATCAGACTACTCAAGAGAAACAGTACCAGTTAGTTTAAAATAATAATGATAAAAATTAGGTTTTGTCATCAGATAACAACAGCCCATAAATGAACTGACTACCCAAGAGAAACAAAACCAGTTAGTACAAAATAAGCATGATAAAAATTAGATTTTGCCATTAGATAACAAAAGTCCATAAATAAACTGACTACCGAAGAGAAGCAGAATAATAAAGCTAAATGATTTCTTTAAATTGAAGTGACCAGAAAACAGAAATACCTCACTGTATTGGGAATAATTTGACTAAAAACAAACTTACCTCAAGTCTAATATCACTAACATGTAACTTAAGTCCGTAACAGAATTTACAAGGCCATCCGGTGGAATGATATTCTGGCGAAGAACATCAGTGATCAAACGAACGTGCAAGGGACGTACACAGTAGCTGGCATCATGTTGAATTCCACTTCGGCATAGGCCGATTTGGCGGGTTCAAGTTCCCGCGTTGCCACGTCTTTCGTCAGGAAATCTCCTAAATATTAACCCGTCGACCGGACTCCACATATTTCTTTTTTGAGTGCATGCCAATGCTTTTGGGTGTTGTAACCCTCGACAGACTCGAAATGGGAAACGAAGACTCATACCGTCGACGGTCGCCTTCACTTCAAATGGTTTCGAAATCAAAACCACAGCGCTTTTGAACTTTGAAAGTCTAAGGTAGAATATTAATTAATTAGTAAGAATTTAACTCGGTTACATCGCATGATCGCTGCCTGACCCTCAAAAACAAAAAAAAAATCGTACATGTACGCTGCCGTCCATTCATTTGAGCGGCACTGAAAACAAGTTTTTGCGGCGCTTTGTCACACATTTCCAGATGAAATACGGGTCGCTCCTTCAAAAATTTTATCAAAGTGACAAAGGAAATATAAAATGCTGTAACGTAATGTCTTTTAACCCTGGCGTGCCCCGTCCAAATCACCGGCAGTCCGATCTGGATTTGTTTTTCATGTAAATTACTTTCTAGGGGTAGATGACGCGAGCTTTTATTTTTAAGATACATTTCGAATGATCAAAATCTTTTTCATTTTAAACAGAAAGGTCACGTCGCAATAAAACGGTTGCGTGGGATGCTGGCTCCTCGCCTTGCCTCGCGCTCAAATGACGCGTCTCTCGCAAATACTCGGTGTCTGGTTTACTTATTATGTTCCGGTCTTAATTAATTTTATGACACCAAGCAAACACCTTTCTATCGCGTACTAGGGCATCAATTTCCGGCGCCTGCTGAGATTTTTTTTTCTTGAGCAAAGCTCCTCATGGAGTAGTTACACTTACAGGCATATGTGAGTAGATTTGGCTGAGCTGTTTTCTATAAGAGACAATTAGAACCACTCCTAAGATCATTGAATGAACCCTTTCGTTCTCTGCTATAGTAAATCACGGAGTCTCTATAAGGTGCTTCTATCTTTTGAGTCTGTGGACAAAATCCTATGGTGTTACCATTCAAATGAAAGCTCTTTAGCAGTACTTTCACGTGGTACCATTTATTTAGTATCTAGTTCTAACTTTTGAGTCTCTGGACGAAATCCTATGGTGTAACCATTCATTGTACTATCTATAATGCATTTAGTTTGTAGTTCTACCTTTTGAAGTCTTTGGATGAAATCTTGTGGTTAGACCATTCAAATGAAACTTCTTCAGCAGTACTTTCACATTGCACTATTTATTTAGTAAGCTAGAAGAGTTCTAACTTCAGATTCTGTGAACAAACTCCTGTAGTGTGACTATTCCTGGCAAATGAAAACTTTCACATGGTGATATTTCTTTTACAGAAATAAAACTGTACAAAATGAAATTTGGAATTTTTTTGGTTAATTTTGACTTTGGCCACCTTTTCAGTGAAAGGGTTTAATAGCTCTCTTTTAAGGTGAACAATTAATCTTTGTCTTCTACTATTTAACAGGTACATCTCAGTCAAGAAGCTATTCATATTTTGTCCTTAAGTCCTGGGTCAAGGACTGAGGAACAACTTCAAACGGTACGTGTTAGACCCCATAGAAGTCACTTAAATGAATTAACCGTCCGATTGCATGGCTGCGAATACAGCCTTCTCCCCTCCGTGTCCTATCCATTTGGGACGTTCCACTAGCTGCGAGGAGCGAGAAGGGAGGGCTTCACACATGGAGAGGGCAAGCTCAAACTTATCCTACAGGGCCTGGTTCCTCAAAAGACGGTTAAGTTTAACCCAGGATTAAGCACAATATAATGCTGAGCCTTTACTCCGAGATACACTAATGATAACCCAAATGTTACTCTAAGCAATCAGGAAGGTAAAAAACAAAAACGGAACAAAATTTTAATCATGGATTAGCACTACTCGCCCTTTCAGGGACCGGGTCCTGGTTCCTTCATGACCTAAGCTGCTTTAAAAACGACCAGGTCAAGGCTGGAAACCTCCGTAGAGGCGGACTTAGGGGCAACGCAAATAATTTATCCACACTTCACGAGAAAGATGAACTGAAGTCTGCTTTGAACTCTCCTTATTTCTAGGCCTTGGTGGCGCTTAAGACCAGTGTTGCCGCTTTTGGGGAGTATCCGCTGAAAATGCAGCGTAGACTCGTATCTGCTGGCTGGTACGAAAGGTGAGTGAATTACTAATCAACCCTTGCTAAACAAAAAAAAGGTAGCACATCCACAAAGTGGTTCTTTGTCAACCATTCCCGGCCGAATTGGAATTTTGAAATGTTGGTTTTGAGGAGAGGGAAAAACAGGAGAACCTGGAAAAAACCTTTTTGAGACGCCGGGATTTGAACATGGGCCTCAATGGTGGTCTCCCGGCAGAGGGAAATGCTATGGCCCTTGTGCAGCAGGCCTTACTCCCCAAGTGTGCCAGGAACATCAAATTGTATCTCATCACTCTCCTCACTCAGTGTTAATTCTAGAGGCGTATTTAGGAAAATGACCAGTAAAACCTCAGACTTCAAACCTTTTAAGGTCAGCCAAATGTTCAGCCGGCGAGCGGATCTGTACCCTACCAGCTCGGCCATGTCACCCTGATTCAATTCAATTTACATTTCAGGTTTGAGGCAAAGAGAGTCATCATCAGGCAGGGTCACAAAGCAGAGAACTTTTATTTCATCCTTTCCGGTACAGGTAAGGACAAACACACGCATGCTGTATTCAGCGGCGGATCCAGGAGAGGGGGCCAGAGCGGCCCGGGCTCCCCTTTATTTTTAGACCAAACTGAGGCCCAAGGGACCGAAAAACAGATTTTTGAGACCACCCCTTCCCCCACTTATCTCAGGGTCTCGATGACCGCCTCCGCCCCTTATCTGAAGGTCTGGATTCGCCACTGCTATTGCTAGAATTTCCACGAATTTAATGATTGAATGATCAATTGACTGATTTATCGATCGATTTGACGATAGATTGCGTGATTTTTTGTTGCTTTGTACTAAAAGCAGGTTTTTTGTCTTATGACAGCGGTCGTTACTTTGCTGGTTAATGATCCTGTTACAAGAGAACAAAGAAACACCACTGTTGCTGTGTTGGGTAAAGGAAGCAGTTTTGGGGTAAGTCAGTATTTTGTCTCTTCAGAAAACGTCCAGTTAATCGCATGCAACAGTTTCAATATTGTGCGAATATCATTTTCAGTATTGCGCTGGCTTCATATTCAATATCGTATTAGTATTTTTTCTTAGTATTTTTCCATCTTGCAGGAACTGGCCTTGCTTCATCATAAAACTCGCAGTGCGACAGTTCTATGCAAAGATGAAGTCTCACTTTTGGCAGTTTGCAGAGAGGTTCGTTGTATGGTAGTATCTAACGTATCTGTTTCCCCTCCATAACGAACGGCTTCATTTATCTAAAAGTTGGTATCCTCTCTTGCAGGATTTTCGAGATATCTTTATGAGTTATGAGGACGGAAGAGAACCAGAACACATTAGATTTTTAAAGTAAGAATTTTACTTAGAATGAAGATGATATGATTTGCGGAAATAAAAAATTTAAATGAAGATATGATCAAATTCGCAGCGGTAATTGCAATTTAACTCGAACAAAAAATTTCGGGACTTTTTAATCTGTATTTCCGCGGTTCATATCATCTTCATTCTATGTTCATGCTTTTCACGGGTTAAGATGAACTCAACAAATTGGCCTGTTCCCAATGTGTGGGTCTAGCTCAATGGGTAGAGCACTGCAGCGCTAACGCAGAGGCCATGGGTTCGAATTCCGTTGAAGTCTCGAAAATTTTTTCGGGTTAATTTGCAATTGTTCGACCACTGCAACGATCATATCTTCATTTAAATAGCAATTTTATTTTTGATATTTAACTGCCATGAAAATCAGGCCTAGATGTCGAACTACATTTTGAATTCAGTCATCAGTAGCTAATAGTATTGTGTATCCTAACTTATTTCAACAGAAGTGTACCGTTTTTAAGAGATCTTCCAGTGGATGATCTAACCACCAAACACGATGTCTGCATATTTCATTACTTCAGGTGCGTTTATTTATCCTGTATGTTACTTGTATAGTTTCTTAATATATATTTCATAAAGAGGTAGAAAATAGCGCTTGGCAATGCCTCATGAGTCGCCGACTCCGTATCAAAACCACTGACTCTAGTTGCTTCCAAAAATGCCGATCAGTCAACGTTTAAGGCAAAAAAAACATAGATGAAATATATCAAGCATTAGACGCTGTGTTTCATCACCAGATGAAACGCTGAGAAGTGGGACAAAAATAGAGTTGACGAACTTCGAGGTGTTTCATCTGGTGATGAAACACTGTGCAAAATGCTTGATATTACTTCTCAAACAAAATGATTTTAGAAGGAGAAATTAAGGATGCAAAAAGGAGTAGTTGTCAAATGTCTCAGATTTTTTACTTTACTATTGAAACTTTCAGAGATCGTGTTTTCGAGATGATTCTGATACCAACATTCCATAGACTAACAAAAAATGTCACAAAAAGTGTTCAACAGATTGAAGTTCTCTACCTGAGTCTTCTCTCTTTTCTTCACCATGTGATCTTGGTTCATGGAAATTTTAAATGTTTGGTATTTTCTTTGTTCTGCAGGAGGGGTGTGGTTATAGTTAAGGAGAGCAAGACTAAATGGATTTACGTTGTTAAAACGGTGCGTACTTACAGTTACGGATATCATAAAATGACTTGTGTCCCCCAACAAACCTCTTTAGCTTTATGTTTTGTTTTCCGAATACAGGTTACGCGGATGATACTTTAGGGAACCGTTTCTTTCAAATTTCGTCTTATTAACATGCATATCTAGCATAATTTATGAAAAGACAATGAGTCACGTTCCCCTGCGACTATTGGGAAAACAAAACATACAAGCTAAAGAGGTCTATTATGCTGAAATGGATATAGATCTCGTTAACCACAACCTCGTTGTTCCACAGGAACGTGTAAGAGAGGATCTGGGTTGACTTGATTCTTCTAAACTTTCTTTCATGTGCTTTAAGCTATTTACCCTGTTTTCCCTACTGATAACTGTATCGACATTTTCTAACTGCAGATGTATACAAATCATAAAACATTCCGAAAGTATGTTTTTTATTGCTTGACTGTCTTTTTCTGACGTGTTCTCGCTTGAAATAAATCCATGAAATGTTTTCATCGTCAGGGGTCCTGCCGCGTTCTAACTCATTTATCAAAAAAGACTGCAAAGTTAAATCGGTCAGCGGTTGATCAGGGGAAATCCAAGGCTATCCTTCCCGTGATTCCCGTCGATGAAACAGATAGGAGGAGAGCACTGTACACAGGTAACGCATCATAAAGCTACTTGTCTGGCAACAAGATATTCGCCCACTGAACTCTTATGTTTGGCAACGGTCATGTGCGATCCAGGATCGGTTTTCGAGTCCACCAATTCTGATTTTAGCTCGGAAATTTAAAAGTTTTCATTGCAATTTAAATACGAGACAAGCTTGCTAGGTACAGTCGAGTAACCGGTCGATACTTTATTTTTCTTTTTTTCAATTTTTTGATTCGTCATTGCTTATGCACGTGTGAATTATGACATCAGCTTTAGTTTTTATAAAAACAAATTATTGCTATTTATATTGTTTTCTGGGACAGTAATTATAAAGTAAAACGTTCTGTCCATTATGCCTTTGGGTTGAGCTTGTTCAGAATTTACATGCCTAATGGTTGTTTTATGTCCTTGTATCTTTACAGCTGCTGGTGATCGCGTTCGGCCCACTGCTTGGTCTCCAGAAATCAAACGACCAAAAACCGAACCTTCACTATCGTCACACAAAAACAGAGACTTGTCTCTACCAGCTCTAGTTGGTGAACCGGAAAAATTTAAGGTAAATGCTTATATTTGAAACTTGGGTATAGAGAAAAGTTTTCTCGAAGACATGACAAAATGTTGTTTTTGGTTGTGATGCATCCTGCGTGGTAAGCCCTCGAAATTAAAGAGACATAGAAACGCTAAAATTAGCATCTATCGCGTTTTCGCACGACAAAGTTTTTAAGTATTGCCCAGCTGTCATCCGTTCAAGTCGAGCATCATGTTTCGCGCGCGTTCTCGTGCGCCATAATCCCTCTTTCCCCTTCTTCTCGCACGCATACCATGCAAGCTGGCAAACATGGAGACTCATTAAAACAAGTCTTTTGTAAATGGAGCCATTGTGTATTTTGTCCTTTTTTTATTTACTCCACAGAAAGTAGCGAAAAACGTTAGTTGGGTTGCACGGATGAGTATCATTCCTAGGGAAGGTAAAGCCCTCTGACTTGTTCTTTAACGTAACGTGGTTAGTAATTTTCTAAACAGCACAGGAGCCCGGCACTTATTCGGTTTGCTAAAGCAAATGGTATTGATGCCAACAAGGGTGTCAGGTTTGAAAGTCAGTTTACCAGTGGTTTTGTTTTGTTTTCTTTTCTTTTATGCCGTAGCTAAAGAAAGCGAAGAACATAGAGAAAAGATTGAAAGACTGCACAGACGAATCAGCAGTGTGGACAAAAATCGTAATAAAACGCCTTTGGTAAGTTTAATATTACTAAGCAAGTAAGCGTTATTAACATGGTCAGAATATTCTTATCACACATACAATGTGTAAGAATCGTTTCTTTACAACAACCTAATGCATTGCTTGAGGAAAACAATGTGCTAAAGACAAATTTAGAAGAACATAGAAGTCTAGTGCACTAATACAAATTAAGTTACTAGTACATACACCCACCCCACCCCACCCCTCCCACAATAACTGCAATCGTTAAAACTGCGTGTTTCCATTTTTTTGCTTTGTTACATCTTCACTTTTTGTTGGTACCATTTAGTCTGTCTTTTGCTGAAATGGTGAAAATTTTAATGCCCCACCTCGGGCTAAAGGTCCAAAAATTTCGTGGGCGGTATCGAATAAATGGCTAATCCATATCGTTGGGCGGGCTGCTGGGCTAAAAAGTAACACCAGTTTTTTTAATTCCCTTTTCCCTGTTATATGCATGGGCTGAGACTTTTGGGAAAGAAAAGAATGACGCTATAATTACTGTTATTTTATTAACAAGAATAGTTGCACCAAATTTTTGTTAATAGTTGTACAACGCAAAATTTGTAATAAAACTAAAATAAAATTTGGTTATAAATTATGTAATGTTGTTAAATGTGTTACTATACTAATTATTCTTGTATTGATTTTAGATTGAAACACCAGATTTGGATCAGAAAGGGGAACAAGTAGTGGTACAGATTGAGTTGCTGAAACCAAAAGATCAGTTTGTACGTCGTCACTCATGACCTTTTTTATGTGTATATTCTTACGAGTTTTGTTTACTCTATGAATGGAAAACGTTTTTCACTGTGTCGGTAGTGGAAAGCTAACTACCTTTTATGTGGGGTTGTTCATTCCACTACGTATAGTGCCTTATGCCTTGAGTCCACTGTGGATGGAATCGTGAAACGTGACCATTCAAATGAAAGCTACTGAGCGGTACTTTCCTTGGTACTGTTTGTTACGCTGAACTAGTGGTTCTAACTTTTGAGTCTGTGGATCACATTAATCTTGAAGTGTGACCCGTTTCAATGAAAGCTCTGAGCAGTACTTTCCTGTGGTAGTGGTTTTTAAACTGTAAAGTTGGAGTCTGTGGATTACTCCGACCCGTGGTGTGACCCGTTTAAATGAAAGCCAACGTGCAGCACTTTGCACTGGTGGCGCTTTTTTGAGTCAGCGGATACCTGATCCTAAAGTACGACCATTAGAATGGAAGCTAGTACTAAGTGGCAGTTTCTTGTGTTGCTATTTACTATGCTGTACTAGTTGGTTCTAACTAAAGTATTTAGATGCATAAAACGGCGCAGAATCATTCCCATCAATATTGTTCACTATGCTGCGCATAATGGACTCTGTTAAGCTATGTAGTCCAAGGTACTTTTTAGTATGTATGTGGTAGTACAAGGTGAAATCTCAGTTTTGATTTCCATAATCGTTCTGATAAAATCCAAAAAATGACTATTCATGCCACCGCTATTATAAAAGTAGGACTTTTGTTATCGTGAAAAGAAAAAAAATTCAACAACATGCTTCGGACTAGTTTAACTGACGCCCTTACAATTCTCGGAAAATTTAAGTACATAAATTTGATCGTCCAACATTTTCCATTTACCAAAGAAATTCTCCTTTTTTCTCTTCCTAGGGACTCTCAATGATACTGTTTGATAATCCTGCAGTTAAATGTCACCTGGTATGTACCTATTTGATTGGTATTAAGTACTGATTAATGAAACCAAAGTGTGTGTGTTGAGATGCATGCATGCTTCTGAAAGGAGTATTTAAGGATTAGCACAGTCGGTTGTTGCGCGGGAGGTTCCCTCGCTTTAAAGTCACTTTGCCCCCAAGTCATTTCGCCCCGGTTACTTAGCCCCTTATTTTAGAACGAGGAATATTAAACTTTAAGCGCGCGCTTCTTTTGGTTTATGTCTTATAGAACAAAGAATATTTGGAGCGCGCTAAATAACTCGAAAATAGGGGGCGAAGTTACCGGAGCGAAATGACCTGTCTCAAAATCCCTGTTTCGACTTTTTCCCTTAGCTGTAAGTAAGTTTGTCAGGTCATGTAGTACGGAAACGTTTTACACCTTTAATCCAGGTATTTTATTAGGAGTTCATCTTGGAATGAGTTCTTAAGAGTTTATAGAATCTGCAAAAACCAGGAGGACTAACTTATGATTGTACAATTCCAGGTTAGCAACGGGGCTGAGTGTGTGCTCATAAAGAAAAGTTGGTTCCTTCAGCATGCAAACGAGTCTACTCTGCGAAAATTAAGAAATCTGGTCAGTATTTAGAGGCCTGTTTTTCCATTGTATTATCATAAAAACATAATATTAATAATAATGCAGGGTTTATTGATGCAACTTCAGAATGAAAAGTACGATGGACTTACAGATAAAATAGAGTGGACAGAAAAAATACATTAAGACATCGATAAGGAGCTGGATGAACCGCAAAAGTACCTCAATGAAAGAATCATGTTTTAAACCAGAAGAAATACCTAACATGGATTCGTTTAAATGAAATAAAAACTTTCGTTTGTCTAGCTGTAAAACAAAATCGCCTTTTTGATCGCTAGAGTGTTATCGGATCTCTCACGATTTTGACATTTTTGCAGTAGCATAAAGCAAGGGTACATAAAATATTATTGATGAAATAATCAACTTGAGGAAGCAGTAAAGTCCTTTGACAAGTTATCATGAATGAAGGATACTCACCGAGGCGCGATTTGGCAGACTCAAGTCTTATACCCCATTTAAACAGGGCATATTTTCGCAGACTTACAATTTTTTTTTATATAACTATTCCACCGCAGATTCCACCATACCCAAGCCAGGATACGCTAGAGCAAAAAATGCAGGATCAAGCAAACTGGGACTCATATAAAACACAAACTATTAATAATCTTCTAGACACACTTCACTTATAACAGTAGCTGTTGCTCCTGTCTATAATAATAGTGTTATAATTATTACCTAGAATTTTTAACCGACAGGTAAAACCAAGTTTGAAGTAAACTCGAGGCACAGCTGATGGCAATTAAAATTTAAGACTATGACCAGAGGATTCTACTCATTTCAGTACGAGGCAGTTAGTTGCATGTTTTCAAGTTAAATAGGGAAGAAAATTTACCTAAATAAGAATGAGTTCAGTTAAGAAATGTTGTTTGGAGCTCAGTCAAACACCTATTCATGATTTCTTGGAGAAACAAAATTAATGTTAGCACTTAATTATTTATTGTTCGACTATAAATATCGGAGACGAATTCACAGACAGGCTTTATGTACAATACAATTTTTTCAACAAAATATGAATATGACGCCAAATTTTATTTATACATATGTGATATGATATACGAAGAGTACTACAGTCATTGATGTCAACAGGTTAGGCTGTCTATTTATTTTAACAGTAATGAACGAATCTTATCTAAAAGAGAGACGTACGTTCTCTGTTAACGCACCTTACAGTAAATATTGTTATTTAAGCCAATAAAGGCATATATTTTGACAAAACTACCTTGATCTGTCTTAAAATAAGTTGGGTTAACGTCTTACGCTAGCTGCAAGACCCGTGAAGTTCGTTAAGGTTAAGAAAGCCTCTATGGACCTCAGTTTCTTTCTAGCGGAAAAAAAATAAAATAAATAGGAGATGCGATTGCGTCGAGGTCGTTGGTTTATGAAGCACAACCCAGTAACCTATCTTTTGCATTTTTCGTTTTCTCACTGGGCATGATTTGCCTCTTTTACAAATAAAGCAAATTTCGCGATTTTACTTTTCGACGTAAAGATTTTTTAAATTAATACGACTTTCAGGATAACTCATAAAGTTAACAGGCTTAAGTCTATCTGAAATCATACATAATTCATCTAATTTTAATATTTGAACATGCGGTTTATATATAAGTCAAATTTATAATGGCACTTGCTCAAACTTCACCATTTGATGCTCGTCTCCAAGATAATGTTGTTTTTGGTAACACGTTCTTACAGTGTGGCATTGTTTCGCTCTGTTTCAACTAGTGTCATACCGTAGCATTTTGCATACCTTCAGCAAGACGGGAAGTTTCTTGGCCTTGCGATGTTGTAATCACCAAAATAAAAGAACAAAGGATTGAAAAGAAACTGAACATTAGACCCAAACCAAAACAATAACAATGCCTATTGTAACTTACAATGATTCCCGCAACTCCATGAAAAACACAAGTCGCGCTGTGAATGGTCGACAATTGACTACAATTTAGCTTTGGTATTGCTTAACTCCATTGAAAGCTGATATTGACCAAACAGTGTGAAGAGAATCCAGAGTCTAGGCGCTCTTTTAATCAGTTCTGTTTCAATGCGGATAGGACTCTTTACACGAGTGAACCTCATTTGCGTGGATCAAGAGGCATTGCTTTCAGTCTTTGTCGGCTCCGAAAAGATTTTGTCCTTGATATCGCCCCCTCTATCTATATATTCCATATACTGAGGCTGGATTCTGGGCGCAAATGAGAATCGATTTCCTCTCGGTAGGGCAAAAGGTCTACTTACTCACTTAAAACTCTCTAAAATGAAACTGAATGCTACTCGATCATAACAACGTTTACCTCAGTTGAAAACTTATCACTCAGTTGTTAGGTGATTTTATTGCTTCAGTGTGATCACCAAAAAGACATCTTCATCGCTAAAAATGACTCGAAACGAAGTTCAACTCGAAATGCAACTCTGCGAAGTTAAACTCGAACTTCAACTCAAAGTCCAACTCGAAGTCCAATTCGAACTCGAACTCGAACTCAAATCCAAACTCGAACATTCTCTACTACCCACCATCACGTATGGTTGTAATAAAACCATTGCTCGAATGACGCAAAAGTTCAGTTTTTAATAGCGCTGAACTAATACTTTGCGAATAACAGTGTACTTCAAAAATTAAAGGGAGAATTTCGTCGACAAGTTGTCCGGTCAAACCTATTTTTGCTCGGACACAACCCGATTTGGGCCGGACAAGTAGCCATTAGGTCATGCTTCTAAAAAGTCCTCCCCCCAAATCACCCCATCAAACAAGTACATTTACTACATTTTAATTGCTCTTACAGCCTCGAAGTTAATGAAGGAAAAGTGTAACACACGATAAAGCCGCAAAATAAATCAAAATTTGTGGATACAAAAATCGCTTTGGTTCTTTGTCATTGCATCTACGCCTGCTCTTTCATGTACCACCTGCCCCTCATCTTTTAGGTGCAGGTCAGAAATGCCCTTTCGTGAGGCTAATCCCGTGCATGATCTCCTGTTACCCACGCGCAAGTTCGTTGATCCAATGAGCGCCCGGGCTGTATACAAAAATAATTTTTGCACACTTAACAATTTTAAACTTTCAAAATAATCTGCGTGGAGTCAACATTTATGGCAAGCCACACTTGCCAAAAATTGTGTTAAGGCTGTAGATTTCCAGCGATTTGCCACTGCTGCTCTTACGACCCTTTGGCTTTTAGAAGACCGGAAGACGTAAAAGGTAATTTTTCTGTCGAGGGTCTTGATTTCTAATCTTTTCTAAGCCTCACGATGTAGTCGTTATCCCTCTTTTAGAAGTGTTCCTGTCTGCATTTCAGGAATTGTAGCTCTTTTGTTAAAAAAATCAGGGGCAGTAACCAACAACTGTTTCTGTAAAATATCTGTTCGGAGAAGCAAATATTGCCTACACTTTTCTATTACTTGATTGGACAACTAGAAATTTCTAGATGATTCATGTTCAATTTTCGAAGCTTATGTAGTAAATTCCCTAAGACTTTCTGAAGTTTAATTTTTCACATTTCACTGCCCAGGTTAGGTTTCTTTTCGTTCAAAAAAGGAAACCCAAAATTCTCGGATTCAGAAATTAACTATGTGATGGAGAGAGGAATCAGAAAAATTCTCCCCTTCGTAATACGTTAAATTGCACCTAAAATGTTCAAGACCTTTGTACTAAAATGTTATACTTTTCAAATCCTGTTTACAAAATGTCTGGCCATCCATCGATCCCATTTTTGGCCGGACATTGTCCATTGACCGGCCGTCATTTCAAGCCCTGTATCGGGGTCGACAGAGTTGTCATTTGCAGTCACGAAGTGTGTGATATTCTTGTTGACTTGAGGCTCAACAGCCTGAATTTCATCCGATTACTTCGAGTCGTTATTACTTCCTCAGTAACGTCTATACACAAAAAGCAATCGAGCATTCAAGACTTCGTGGACAAGCTTTCGAATACGATCGATTGATTGTAAAATGTAAATACTTTGCAGTCTGACTGACTAGAGTTTACGTATACGTGTATGCACCTCATGTTTCACATAATTCCCTGGTTTTCACCGTTAAAGTTGAATTTAGGTGATTTAAGATTATAACAAGTGAAAAATTTCAAACTGTGCTGTACTTGTTGCTAGAGAAAAAAAGAACAAATTAATTTCAGGCAGAGAAAACGTTAACTATTTGTTAAATTTTAGCTTATAAGGTAATCATCTTTATCTAATTACGTTAATCATCCAAGTTTGACCTTTTTTCGCTATGTTTTCCCATAAGCGACCACCTCTCGTTAACGACCACTTTTCCGTGCACTAAGGGTGGTCGCTTATGAGATAGTTGACTGTAGTTAACTCACTTTTTAAACATTTTGCAGCCATGAACAAAACTGGTTTAGCATTTTCTGGTGGTGGGATAAGGTCAGCGGCCTTTTGTTCCGGAGTCTTACGACGATTACTGCAGAAGAATGTGAAGATTGACTACCTCAGTTGTGTGTCTGGGGGCGGTTACACAGGTACGGCCTATCTGGACTGGAAGTGCAGGAATGGCAAGAAGGACGGCAAAACCTGGCATCAAGAATTCTTTAATCACATGAGACAGAATGCTGGTTTTATATGCCACTGGTACCATCCTTTCAAAGGAGTTTTAGAGTGTTTAGCTATAACCTTGGTTTTATTATTTGTGACAATTCTTGTACCAGCCTTGTTGTGGATGTCATTTTCATATCCGCTGGCCTATGTTATAGACTATCTATATGGACATATTCTAAGAAGTTGTTGTGCTCCATGTAGCGAAGTTGTGCTTCACAATCCAAACATAACCATACAACAATGCGAAGAAGACCGCGAATCATCTGGGGCATTGTACCACCTTCTGGCTCTGTTTTTGACGCCCACTAGTATTGCATGTGCATCTTTCGTTCTCAAAGGCATTTCCTCAAAAGGAAAACCTCTCTTCAATCTTCTTTTTCATTTTTCGGCGGCGTTTTTTGCGTTGGTGTTCTTCCCGTGGTTCATAAAGGAATTTTTTCATCGACTTCCAACGTGGATAAAGTTTCTTATATTCATCCCTTTATTCTGTCTTTGGATTTCATTTCCTCCCATCCGTTCGTCTACTACGCTCATGACTGCCACATATCTGAGCTCGTTTGTAATTTACTGGAGAGTTTATAACGAGAGTGCCTTTGGTTTTGAGTACAAACCAGATACGTTTAATATTATTCTGGCTTTAGCAACGATAGTGCATTGGATCTCCCCATGGTTGATCACCATTCAACAACGGCTTGTTCACATTTATATTAGGTAAGCCTAAAGATTTGTTACATTTCTAGCACGACTAAAATGTTGGGACGTTTGTTACAACTATTGCGTTTAAGTAACTCTTTGAAAACGTCAACCTTCTAAAACCAAAACAGAAAAATGTTTTGGAGACGGCTTCCTTGTCTTCCTTACTACGTGCCTTAAATGTCATATTCACACGTAATCACAATCCACTTCTTTCCCTCTATAGACTGCTTGTAATTTTCTTTGCAAGGTTTTAAGGTTCATTTTGTTACAAAAAACATTTATTAGTGAATGTTAGCTCCGGTTTTGGACTTGACTAAATCTATATATCATCAAGAAAGAATATTCTCGATCTCTTATTATTGCTCGAATGAAACACAAGGCAGATTGCAAAGCATAATCGGGGCATAATCTTGTATGGAATCCACGTGTTCATGCACCATAATGATTTTCGTTCATTGTGGACCTTTGCTTATATAATTGTTAATTTCTTTTTGTTCAATGGTAGTCTTTAGTCATAATAACCTTCGTGCTGTGAAAACTCTCCGTCCCTTTGTTTTTGGATTTGAACTAGCTTTTTCTCCACTCGATGATGCAGGAACGGTGTGTCTACATAGTCTACATTAGGCTACCAAGCGCTTGAAGAGTGCTGTTAAAAATTAAAGGTCTTTGCCAGTCATTAAGCAGACTACTATTTTTTTTAATGCAGGTGGATGATCCAGAAAGCATTTTTCTATCCAGAGACAATTGGTGCATGTGGATGCGCTGGAATCAGCTGGCGAAGTTTTTTCCTTTATTGTCCTACCTGCTGCCAGCCCAAAAAGAAAGGCATCAGACACAGCAAAGTGTTGACCTTGGATGACCTCGATGAGATGACACCGCAGTACATAGGTTGCGTTACAAGCAATCAGTGGCGACGCTCTACCTCCCCCAGAGAACAAGATTCTGAACTCCTTACTATGAGTCCAGTCAATATAGAGCGTCTTGACCGTCCCGAGGGTGAGGAGGAACTGCGTGGGAGGCTGACTCCTATGGATATCTACCTATCCGATGTCGCTGCCACATCTGCGGCTGCGCTAAACCATCAGACGGGATCGAGGCATGGTGACGAATTACCGTTTAAGGATTTTAAAGTGATGTTTGGACTGTCGTGCGGCTCATCCTTCGTGTCAGACCAAAGACAGGAAAAGAAGAGACACTTCTGCATTCAGGTCATTTAGTTCCTCCTAAGACAGACATAAGACCAGGACAAAAAAAATTAAAAAGGGGATATTCCACAAAAGAAAACAATACAATGAGATAAAATTTTTTTCTGCCCATAGTCGTAAACCATTGTCATCCGTTCATTAGTGTAGTTTAGTCATAAAGTTTAGTTTTTTTTTTCACGTTGGCTTTTAAACATGTTCAGCCTTTGTACGGGGAGATTCGAGGTAACTCTCAGCTGTATTTTGCTCATTTCAGACACTCATTCCTGATAATTTTTGCACAATCCCTGATATCTGAATGGCGAACTGAATTTTGTTTTTTTTTTCCATTATGATTTATAGGTCCTTCCACTAATAATAGAGTTCATTCGTGGTCTTCCTTTGGCCGTGTTTTTCGTTATTTATCTTATCACTGACGATGGTGATTATTTGACCATTGGCCTGCTGATATTTTTCTCCATTTTGTTGCTGTTGACACTGGTGGCCCTGGTACCAACCGGAAGTAGAAAACATGGAAGACTGGAACGAATTGCTAGGTAACGTATTTCTTAACTTCCTTAGTAGCTATTTTTAAAATCGGATGTTACTAAAACGGGGAATGGTGAACGAGCGCGGGAAACAGGAAAATGAAAAGTGGGAATAAAACCTAACTTGATCCCTAGCCCCATCAGTAACCTCATTTATGATTATTACAAGTCTCTGATTTGTTCCATTTTTTCATTGTCGAGTTCCTCATCTTGTTCCTCGTCCCCCGTTTTTGTAACATCCCTGAAAATCGACTCAAAATTAAAGAAAAAGATCGATCGTGCAAAATTTTCAGCACTTTCAATGCCTAAAACATCAAATTTAACCGCTCAAATCAGTAGAAAATGCAAGAAAGCCAAATCGAGCGCAGATGGGCAAAATTGCAGAGGGTTAAATAAATTGATTTGCGTTCGGGTAGATAAACTACCAAATCGTCGTCCGAAGATTAAAGTTTACTGAGTCAGTTTTTATTTAAATTTGAACGATAGAACTGGCTCCTTAACAACTGCTTGTTTATTTCAAATTACTTAATTTAATACTATGGGCTCCTTTGATGGGAATACACGTATGTTACCGAGACCAGTCCACAATAGATAAATGTAATGTTGTCAGCAGTCAAATATACAATATAACTTTTACTTTGTCGGTAACTCACTCCAAAGATGCGTGCAATTCTTTACAAAGGTGGCTGACTGTCAACGTTTATTACGTCAACTTCATCCGCAACGCAATGAAAATTGCTAACGAAGGTCCCAGTCCCCCAGCGGTCCTGTCTCTTAGTGACGGAGGCCACATTGAAAACTTGGGCATTCTTCCATTGTTGAAATTAAGACTGAAGAAAATCGTGTCGGTGGACGGAAGTCGCACCATCTTGGACGAAGACTATGGAAGTTCTCTTATGACAGCTTTAGATTTGGCCAGAAGAAAACTTGGTTGCTCATTTTCGGGGATGGATGGACGGGATATTGCAGAGGATATACGGGATAACTTCGTGGAAAGAAGATTAGGATCGCAACCTAGAAGCTACAGGTCAATTTCGTAGTTAACACAACTTTATAAAATTGGTACTTCTGATAAGAGAATCCAATCCACTTTTTAAATTAAATTAACCTCCCCAAAGAGACTCTCTATCTGAATTAAATGTCTCTTCTTAGTTATACCTGGCTATGAAAGTGCTAGTTAGTCTTACTTAGTATACTAGTAACTTCACCAACAAATTTAACCCTTTCACTGCCAAATATGACCAAAGGCAAATTCGACAAAAATCCCAAATTTCATTTTGTAAATTTTTTTAAAACAAATGACACCACATGAACGTACTTCCAAAGAGGTTTCATTTGAATGGTCGCACCATAGGATTTTGTCCACAGAATCAAAAGTTAGAACTACATACTAAATAAATAGTACCGTGTGAAAGTACTGCTGAAGAGGTTTCATTTGAATGGTCGCACCATAGGATTTTGTCCACAGACGTAAAAGTTAGAACCACCTCACAAAACTTCATCATCCACTCTGACAGTGAAAGGGTTAATAGGAAGAATTGACCACCAAAATTACTTTCAAAACTGATGCTTTTAACGCTAACCCTTTGCTAGTACGTCCAATTCGAATCTCTCTCAGTATATATATATATATATATAGTAATTATAAACGAATTATTCTCTGCTTTTTGTAACACACATGCAGGTTTAAAGTGCATTATTATGACAAAAATCCTAATGGCGATGGAAAGACTAGAGTTGGTGAGGGTGAAATTATCTATATCAGGCCCAGACATCCTGACAAAGGTTCAACACCGACCCTACGATGCGAGACATGGAATGATGTCGACATAGATCTCGAGAGGAGTCTCTGGGGGACTGGACCTGAGTTATCCGCCGAGGAAGCTGATCGACTGACGTTCTGTTGCTGCGAATGTTGCCATGGGGACTCATGTCGTGGCTTTTCCGAGGCGGTGTGCGGAGCTTTTCCACAGCATGTAACAATTAATCAGTGTTTTACTCCATCCATGTTCTCGGCTTACCACAGAGAAGGTTACAGATCCAGCATGGAGGCTAAAGTAGAGGAGTTTATGTCCGATGAAGATTATGATGCTATATCAACAGCGTTTGTAGTTTAAAGTATGTTCACACGAGTATGATATGAGTATGATATGAGACTCTCCATTTCGAGATCGGCGTGAAGCACCTTCGATCCGTTACAGAAGTGGTGCCAAATTTATGCACTGTTGTTGTGCACTATGAGATGAAGCCGCGTTCCCAAAGCTTATCATTTTCTTAAAATATTAGCGAATTGTGCGGGTAGCACGCTATTTCACTGTTTTTATGATTCTTAAAACTGCATGTCAGAATATTTCAAAAACGCTCTCATACGATTTCTTCAAACTTTGCCATAATGGAGGCAGTTATGGCAGGTACATACTCCCTTAAGTGATTTCCTCAAAAAACTCCTGGTACAGAGAAATACAACGATAAATGAAACACGTAATGGCGTCATTACGTTGCCAAGGCGACTCCGATTGCAATAAAACCCAGATCATAAGAAATTTTCATCTTTATATAATACAGCTGTGGTAACCTTTTTTCCATATCTTTACTCATGCCGACGTAGTTAATGCTCAAACTTGGGAGGTATCCCCCTCAAAAAATCCAGTCGAGCCACCTTGAGCTATCCGGTATTATCCGGTATGGTTTCCTTTTCGGCGCATGCGCAAAAGGTATCCGGTGTATTGAGTGTACATAGAGTGTACATAGCCTAAGGACAATGAGCCAAATACATGCAGCAGTCGGCTGCCGCTCATGACTCTTAAGACCCTTGAATGAAATCTCTTGAAATCGTTTCCGCGGGAGAAAATCACTGCAAGAAGGAGGGTTTAAATAGGCTTATCGAAGGAACCCATAACGTTCAATTTTTGTCCGTTTAGACCTCTAGGACCTTTCCAGGATAGAAAAAAGGGTGGAATCATTTTGTTCTACAAAAGACACCTGAAGTTATAACAAGCAATATTGAAACTCTGTACATTAACAAGTTGTGGCTAGAAAATATTATTCCGTTACCTCTCACAGCAAGGAGCCCAAAAGTGTGACCGCTCTTGATTTATTCACATTCTTTCGTGCAGATTTAATCCAATCAGAAGCCAGCTGGAAACTGTCCTCGACTTCTGATTGGTTATTGTCATCACGAAAGAATGTGAATTAATTAAAGGAGTTAACACTTTTGGGCTCCTTGCTGTAACGACTATCGCAGGAAAAAATAACAGATTCCCATTTTTGGATATTTTAGGGTATTTAAAGAAGACCCACAAAAATCCCAAATTTGGAAGAATGAGACAAGTCCCAACCAGGGAACTTGGTTGGGAATTCTCTGTTTGGGACTTGTCTCGCTTTGCCAAATTTGGGATTTTTGTGAGTATTCTTTAAATACCCTAAAATATCCAATATTGGGAGTCTGTTATTTTTTCCTGTGTATAAGCCTTAAAATTTCTATTTTTGGCTGTTTTAAGGCTAACGGTTAACTCCCATTAACGTAATGAAAGGGTAGCGGACACGAAATTCGATTTCAACGAGCGAAGAGGAGCTATTGAATTGAAAGCAAATGACACCATTGCGGTTCGAAGGCAGACCAGAACAATAAGCTTCGATCGAGTGAACCATTCAATTCTCTCCCAGTTTCTTTTTCCTTTTTTGCTTAGAGATCTGCGAGCACAAAATGGATAGCGCTCAGTTCTCATTACTGTGGTCAAATTATAATTTACAAGCTTAATTTCAGATTAAAATAATTTTATTTAATATCCCATGGGTTCATCAATACAGTTTCTTAAAAATTCAATACCTTTATTAATTCAACAGTTGCAGCTTAATATATTTTTATAGAACATATAGCTTACAGTCCAATATTCCACATTCTTTATGTTGCTTATCCTTTCAGCTTCTTTACATTACATAAAGCTTATAATGTATAACGTTGTATACATTAACCAAATCTCATTCACTTTAGACGCAAAACAAATGTCTACCCTCAAACAGAAATATTCTTGAACTGAGTTTTAATGTTTATATGACATCAACAATGAATATATATATTTTATTTTTATCACAAACACCAGATAAAACGAGTATTGAGCACAGAGTTTTATTTGTTAATACAGTTTACTACTGTAATCGCAACAAAATTATAAATGATTTTGAGATAACCACATTCATACAAACCCAAGTAAACAAGACGACAGTTAAGGACCGAGAATGACAAGATTGGGTAACACAAACGGTAACACTAAGGGCTTGTTTACATGGAGGTGGGGGACCCCAGGTAGATGAGGTAACCCGCTTAGGTGGGGTAACCCGCCTGTCCATACAATCTCTCATTTTAATCATCACGTTTACATGTTAGGTGGGGTAACCCGCCACAGAGTTACCTCACCTACCTGGGGTCCCCCACCTTCATGTAAACAGGCCCCTAAATGACTTCGAAGTTAACAATGATACACGTTTGCAAGTTACGGAATCGCGCCATCGAAAGCGTATTATGAAAGCAAATAAAGGTTACTAAAGCACTCTATACCTTACAAACGCATGAAATAATTAATAATGGCGACAGAAATTTAACAAAAGCGTGAGAAAGTTCATATAAATACAGTGTTAAAAAGAAGATACACCATTAAACAAGTCGGTATAAATTTGGTTTATAGAGTGGCGACAGCTAGAGGTGCCTTTTAGATTTACGGGTCACAGGAAATTATGATACAGGAGGTTTTGCGCGAAGCTCGTAAAGGCATTTAAGCGCACGTTCGAAAGTAATCAGCAAGCCGAAGTAGTCAAACATACTGGTCGCAGTTACCAAAAGTACACCCGAAGGATTGCAAGAGTGTTCATTAATTTTATAGAGTTCACAAGTTGGCAAAGGCTTTTAAGTGTTCACGATAGCGCGCTTTTGAAGTAATGGTAAGTTTAAATAAAGATTGACCAAGCCGAAGTAGTCAATGATAATGGTCGAAGTTACCGCAAGTACCACCGAAGTATTGCGAGAGTGTTCATTAATTTTATACTGTTTACAAGAGTTGGCAAAGGCTTTTAAGTGTTCACGCTAGCGCGCGTTCGAAGTAACGGCAAGTTTAAATGAAGATTGACCAAGCCGAAGTAGTCAATGATAATGGTCGAAAGATAGCGAAAGTACTCCCGAGGTATTGCGAGAGTGTTCATTAATTTTCTAGTGTTTACAAGAGTTGGCAAAGGCTTCTAAGTGTTCACGATGGCGCGCGTTCGAAGTAATGGTAAGTTTAAATAAACATTGACCAAGCCGAAGTAGTCAAAGATAATTTTCGGTTTAAACCGAAGTAGTCAAAGATAATGGTCGAAAGTTACCGAAAGTGCCCTCGAAGAATTGCGAGAGTGTTCATTAATTTTATAGTGTTTACAAGAGTTGGCAAAAGCTTCTCAGTGTTAACCATAGCGCGCATTCGAAGTAATGGTAAGTTTAAATGAAGATTGACCAAGCCGAAGTAGTCAAAGATAATGGTCAAAACTTACCGAAAGTACCACCGAAGAATTGCGAGAGTGTTCATTAATTTTATAGTGTTTACAAGAGTTGGCAAAGGCTTCTAAGTGTTCACGATTGCGCGCGTTCGAAGTAATGGCAAGTTTAAATGAAGATTGACCAAGCCGAAGTAGTCAAAGATAATGGTCGAAAGTTACCGAAAGTACCCCCGAAGTATTGCGAGAGTGTTCATTAATTTTCTAGTGTTTACAAGAGTTGGCAAAGGCTTCTAAGTGTTCACGATGGCGCGCGTTCAAAGTAATGGTAAGTTTAAATAAACATTGACAAAGCCGAGGTAGTCAAAGATAATTTTCGGTTTAACCGGAAGTAGTGAAAGATAATGTTCACGATGCCGAGCGTTCGAAGTAATGGTAAGTTTAAATGAAGATTGACCAAGCCTAAGTAGTCAATGATAATAATCGAAAGTTACCCAAAGTACCCCCGAAGTATTGCGAGAGTGTTCATTAATTTTATAGTGTTTACAAGAGTTGGCAAAGGCATTTAAGAGTTCACGATGGCGCGCGTAGGAAGTAATCGTAAGTGTATATGAAGATTGACACAAGCTGAAGTAGTCAATGATAGTGGTCGTGAGTTACGGGAAGTAACGCCGAAGCATTGCGAGAGTGTTCATTGATTTGTATAGTGTTCAACAGTTGATAAAGGCATTTAAGCGTTCAAAATAGCGCGCGTTCGAAGTAATGGCAAGTTTAAATGAAGATTGACCAAGCCGAAGTAGTCAATGATACTGGTCGAAAGTTACCGAAAGTACCCCCGAAGAATTGCGAGAGTGTTCATTAATTTTATAGTGTTTACAAGAGTTGGCAAACGCTTTTAAGTGTTCACGATGGCGCGCGTTCGAAGTAATGGTAAGTTGAAATGAAGACTGACGCAAGCCGAAGTAGTCAATGAGTAGTCAATTAGTCGAAAGTTACCGAAAGTACCCCCGAAGTATTGCGAGTGTGCTCATAAATTTTATAGTTTTTACAAGTTGGCAAACGCTTTTAAGTGTTCACCAGAGCACGCGTTCGAAGTAAAGGTACGTTTAAATGAACAAGTAGTCAATGATAGTGGTCGAAGGTTACCGAAAGTACCCCCGAAGTATTGCGAGAGTGTTCATTAATTTTGTAGTGTTTACAAGAGGTGGCAAAGGCTTTTAAGCGTTTACGATGGCGCGCGTGACACAGGCTGAAGTTGTCAATGATAGTGGTCGTGAGTTACGGGAGAGTTCATTGATTTGTATAGTGTTCAACAGTTAACCTGAGATCAGGCGTTATTTATTTATTTATTTGCTTCTTTGGCTCGAGGGTGGGAAAAAATAACGCCTGATGAGAAAGGCTTTTAAGTGTTTACGATAGCGCGCGTTTGAAGTAATGGCAAGTTTAAATGAAGATTGACCAAGCCGAAGTAGTCAATGATAATGGTCGAAGTTACCGAAAGTACCCCCGAAGAATTGCGAGAGTGTTCATTAATTTTATAGTGTTTACAAGAGTTGGCAAAGGGTGTTAAGCGTTCACGATGGCGCGCGTTCGAAGTAATGGTAAGTTTAAATGAAGATTGACCAAGCCGAAGTAGTCAATGATAATGGTCGAAGTTACCGAAAGTACCCCCGAAGTATTGCGAGAGTGTTCATTAATTTTCTAGTGTTTACAAGAGTTGGCAAAGGCTTCTAAGTGTTCACGATGGCGCGCGTTCAAAGTAATGGTAAGTTTAAATAAACATTGACCAAGCCGAGGTAGTCAAAGATAATTTTCGGTTTAACCGGAAGTAGTGAAAGATAATGTTCACGATGCCGAGCGTTCGAAGTAATGGTAAGTTTAAATGAAGATTGACCAAGCCTAAGTAGTCAATGATAATAATCGAAAGTTACCCAAAGTACCCCCGAAGTATTGCGAGAGTGTTCATTAATTTTATAGTGTTTACAAGAGTTGGCAAAGGCATTTAAGAGTTCACGATGGCGCGCGTAGGAAGTAATCGTAAGTGTATATGAAGATTGACACAAGCTGAAGTAGTCAATGATAGTGGTCGTGAGTTACGGGAAGTACCCCCGAAGCATTGCGAGAGTGTTCATTGATTTGTATAGTGTTCAACAGTTGATAAAGGCATTTAAGCGTTCAAAATAGCGCGCGTTCGAAGTAATGGCAAGTTTAAATGAAGATTGACCAAGCCGAAGTAGTCAATGATAATGGTCGAAAGTTACCGAAAGTACCCCGAAGAATTGCGAGAGTGTTCATTAATTTTATAGTGTTTACAAGAGTTGGCAAACGCTTTTAAGTGTTCACGATGGCGCGCGTTCGAAGTAATGGTAAGTTGAAATGAAGACTGACGCAAGCCGAAGTAGTCAATGAGTAGTCAATTAGTCGAAAGTTACCGAAAGTACCCCCGAAGTATTGCGAGTGTGCTCATAAATTTTATAGTTTTTACAAGTTGGCAAACGCTTTTAAGTGTTCACCAGAGCACGCGTTCGAAGTAAAGGTACGTTTAAATGAACAAGTAGTCAATGATAGTGGTCGAAGGTTACCGAAAGTACCCCCGAAGTATTGCGAGAGTGTTCATTAATTTTGTAGTGTTTACAAGAGGTGGCAAAGGCTTTTAAGCGTTTACGATGGCGCGCGTGACACAGGCTGAAGTTGTCAATGATAGTGGTCGTGAGTTACGGGAGAGTTCATTGATTTGTATAGTGTTCAACAGTTAACCTGAGATCAGGCGTTATTTATTTATTTACTTTTTGGCTTCTTTGGCTCAAGGGGGGGGAAGTAACGCCTGATGAGAAAGGCTTTTGACTGTTCACGATAGCGCGCGTTTGAAGTAATGGCAAGTTTAAATGAAGATTGACCACGCCGAAGTAGTCAATGATAATGGTCGAAAGTTACCGAAAGTACCCCCGAAGAATTGCGAGAGTGTTCATTAATTTTATAGTGTTTACAAGAGTTGGCAAAGCCTTCTAAGTGTTCACGATGGCGCGCGTTCGAAGTAATGGTAAGTTTAAATAAACATTAACCAAGCCGAAGTAGGCAAAGATAATTTTCGGTTTAAACCCAAGTAGTCAAAGATAATGGTCGAAAGTTACCGAAAGTACCCCCGAAGAATTGCGAGAGTGTTCATTAGATTTATAGTGTTTGCAAGAGTTGGCAAAGGCTTCTAAGTGTTTACCATAGCGAGCATTCGAAGTAATGGTAGGTTTAAATGAAGATTGACCACGCCGAAGTAGTCAAAGATAATAACCGAAAGTTACCGAAAGTACCCCCCAAGAATTGCGAGAGTGTTCATTAATTTTATAGTGTTTACAAGAGTTGGCAAAGGCTTCTAAGTGTTCACGATTGCGCGCGTTCGAAGTAATGGCAAGTTTGAATGAAGATTGACCAAGCCGAAGTAGTCAAAGATAATGGTCGAAAGTTACCGAAAGAACCCCCGAGGAATTGGGAGAGTGTCCATTAATTTAATAGTGTTTACAAGAGTTGGCAAAGGCTTCTAAGTGTTCACGATGGCGCGCGTTCGAAGTAATGGCAACTTTAAATGAAAATTGACGAAGCCGAAGTAGTGAAAGATAATGGTCGAAAGTTACCGAAAGTACCC